TTCTCTGTACTCCGTATGAGATAGGAAATTGGGAATAACTTCACAACAAAAGATCCAAATGAGGCAATGATCAGGGCACGCTAAACCGTACTTTGTCTAAGGGGATTTCAAACTGTGACGGTACCCAACCCGTCTACGGGTCCTGCGACACCTTTTCTCTTCTATTCATTCTACACGGAAAACCCCCTAGGCCCTAGGGCCTGAGAGAGAAAACATGCCTTCACTTACTCTATCAGATCCGTCCATGATCCTGCCATACGAAGGTGAACGCGAATCCCAAACTCCCTCCCCTCCCCAAATCGCCTACCTGTCGCATCTTAATTCCCGCCAATCAGACCACGATGCCTCAATATCTGCATCCAGCCGACAGAAGAAAAATTTTTCCCGCCATGCCTGGACACACGATGACGTGAATGTCAGTCGCCGACTCTCGGATATCGGCGAGGAGCTATCGCCCGCCAGATTGGGATTCGGCGATTCGGACGAACAACAGCTGGCCAGCTCACCGCTACTGCACGACGACGATCAGAACAGGGATCATGCTGCGTGGAGTAGCTCCAATTCCACTATTAGTGCGGGGAGCAGACGCGCTTCTGCTTCTAGGGATGTGCCTGAGGCGCATAACGGACGCGATGAATCCCCCGTTGACCCCGAGGTCGCGAGAGCGCAAGCTTCCGCGGTCGTTGCGACTGCAGGGGGTTCTTCTGTGCCAGCTAGCAACGCCGTGGCGTCTGCAGCTGCAGAGGGCAAGGGGCCGGGGGAGGAGTTTTCCTCGGCGATACTGAGTAGCGAGGCGGAGAGGATCTTGGAGAATGCGAAGAAACGACTAAATGTATGTTGGTGTCTTGTGTCTTGCGCGCCGCAGGTTGGCTAGGGAGTATTAATACTAACGCGCTTTGTTCTCTTAGCTCATGGAAAACAATCTCACTCGAGCTCGGTCGACGACGCGCACAACTGCTTCGCCCTCGCCCTCGAATTCGGGCCATATGCAACCAATGGGTATGCACCACCCAGTGGGCGGACTGTACCGGTCGATTTCGCGCACGGATCCTAAGAATTCGTCGCTTCGACGGCAGTCGCTTATCGCGTCGCAGGATACGACGAATAATCGCCATTCGAGAGGGCACTCTGAGACGAATATTCCGTCCGACTCGAACTTGTCGAATGATACTAAGCGAATCTCGCGCTCGGTCAGTGCGATGGGCGCAAGCACTTCGTCTAGTCTTCATACGGATAATCGGTCGTTCCAGTATGCACCCACGAGGGCATACCTGACTCACCGGTCATCGGTTTCTTCTGTTCAGCCTCCGATACATGTTCAGAACCAGGAGGAACAGGAGCAGACCGCACAGTCCCCTGTTTCCACCGAAGATAGTTCGTCGGACTCGCCACATGGCTTGGGCATTTCCTCGGAGGGATCGAAATCCAGCCCGGACGGGTTCAGTCCAGTCTACAGCTCCTATGGTCCCCCTAGCCGCGCGCAGTCGCAACTGCAGGTGCGCGATCTTCAGTATCAGATGAAGGGTCTTCACATCAAGATCTCTTCTCTCAAGGTGAAGACTCAGGAGGATAATCTTCGCCGGCGCAGCTTGCAGAGCTTGCGCACGCCCAGTCCATTAACGGCCGCTGATCACTGGTATGCGAATGCGCTGGAGCTCAAAGATGGCCGAACCAGTCGTGGCTCTAATCCCCGACGTGACGCCAGCTCTGAAAACATTCGGGATGTTTCGAACGAAGTAACCGCAGAAGATCGGCGCCGATCCGATGAACATGTTGCCGAAGATGCACACAAACATGCCAGGAACTGGCAAGGCAATGAGCCGGCTGACTATGCCGATGACCAATCCGTTGCTGAAACCATGTACGAAGATGCCGAAGAAGGCGACTTCGACGGAGACATTGACCGCGAAGCTCTGGATGAGATCTTACGCGAACCGCTCGACGATGACCTGGAGAACGATATGGAAGCCTTCCCTGACGTGCCATTGCACACGGACGCGACACCCCACGAGATGCGCGAGGATGCGTTCGACTACGAGCATTTCATCTTGCATAGCGCACTGGGGAACTACACCCAGCAACTGCGTCGGATGAGCAATAGCTCGAACGGATCAGTCGCGACAACCCGGCCCACATACAAAGCGCGACACTCCCGTACCAACAGTGACATGTCCGTTTCGACAGTGGCAACCTTTGCAACTGCAAATGAAGGCGAACGTCCCAGCGACGAGGACGACGTTGACAGCGTGATGTACTGGGACCGAAGGTTCAATCATGGTTCGTTCTCACAATCATTCCCCCTGGCTTTTCTCGCACTAATCCCTGGACAGAGCTGCGACACGGACATAGCCATGGCCATGGTCATAGCCGTAACCATTCCCAGTCCCATTCCCAATCTCATACTCACGGCCACGCCCATAGTCATAGCTACCAGCCAAGTCCAATCCAAGAGCTCGAGGTTGAGGGTGATCGCTCTGCAACACCCCGTGGCCCTCGATACGACAGCGGCAATATTACTCCTGTGGACCCGAAAAATCTTTCCCCTCAAAAAGTTACTGGTCGTTCATCCTCAGCCACGGCCGGTTCTGCCACCCCAACCTCCCTTGTCTCGTCGCTTGTCTCGACCGTGCGCGCGGCGTCCAGCACCCCCACTATTGGTGGTATCAACGATGATGACACACAGATGCTGGAAGCACTGTTCAGCAGCCTGGGTAAGGTTTGTATGGATTTGCAGACCATCACGACCTCCTCGGATCCCGATGTGAAGGCTGTGCGTGTGCTACGGCGTCGTCTGGATGCTGCGCGGAGAGTGCTCGAGGGAGAGCTTGATGCTTGATTTGATCTTGCTGCTCATCCTATCTCGTTGCATAGTGATGCCATATACCATGATTTATCCCTGTGTGGGATTGACGTTCTTTTGTTTCTTTTGTCCACATTATCTTGATACCCATTGTTTCTTTGTTGACTGTGATTTTATTGTACCTAGGTCATCTAGAGACTCTAGAGTATAGGAATAATTAATAGATGTCATGCATGTGAATGAGATCTGAATATCTAAGCATTCAAGTACATGGCTGTATAATCATAAGATTCGCCAGTCCCCTCTTCCGACTTCCCCTTTCACTAGCATTTTCAACTCTTCATCTTTCTACCAATATTATAGAATATTCACATTCATCAACATTCGTTCATAAACATTCCCCCCTTTTTGCCCCGCGATCTCCTAATCGGGACACTGATCGCCCAACGATAAGCAGAGCCTGTCACGACCAACTGTCAACAGTAAGCAAGCCTGGATGAATATACAAAGCCCATATTAACAAATCTTAGAAAACGCGCATCTAAACGAATCCAAAGACTCGACCCAAACGTCGGGTAAAAAAACAAACAACCAAAAAAAAAAAAAAAAAGAAAATCAGCCAAACTGAACAATCCATCCCTCCAAAGTCCAAGCCCAAGAAAAAAAATATCCAACCCGAGTCTCCGCAAAGACTTATTACGCTCTCTACACACTCAAAAAGCCTTCGCGATGAGTATGAGCGCAAGCGCAAATACCAGACCACCGTCTGCACCAGGGTCGTCACATGCCTCGCGCCGTCTCCTCATCTTCCAGGAGACGCGCAACCCACAGAATGTCGCAGAGACCATCTACCTCCCCGTCAACAAACTGGGGTTACCGATCTGTGGCGATGGACCCGAATTACCTTCTATTCTGGAGTTGCCATTGCGGGTGCTGAGGGTATTTACTGATATCTTTAATCAGCCGAAGTATAAGGGGTGGTATGTTCTCTTTTCTTCTCTTCTCTGGTCCCTTTTGCTTTTTCTCTCGTGATGTCGTTCTCTGCTATTTCGAATATCAAATCATATGCTGATTGAAATAGGGCTGTTGTCTCTGCAGGTCCGTATCATGATATCTCAGAAGAAGGGAAATTTTATGCTGTGGTTCTGGAACAGGCGCAGAATGCGTCGGGGTATGCGTCGCATGAGACTCATATGGGGACGCCTTGATCTTTTATGTATGAAATACTCCTGTTGATTTTTTCATGTAAACCTGTGAATTGCTGTTTCGGGTTAGTTTTGCCTTTTTAGGTTTAGCGTCATCATAGGCCGTTCTGCTCTCCTTATCCCCCGACATAGACCTGTCTTTGGAGGCATTCGACAAGTTCGAATCAGACCGAACATTCACTCCGGGGTGCCCTCTTGAACGGCGATTGGTCGTATCAAAATAACTCTATAATTCAATAGAGGTGTAGGCTTCGGGGATTAAATTAATTAATAAACATAGGGTGAATCATTAATGAAGAAGAATATGAGGGTAGACGGCCGCTGATATAGCCTGATAATATCCTTCTTCTGGGTCTTTTCAGCAGTCTTGAATAGGTCTCTCAATGGGCTTCCCAGCTTTTTTTTTTTTTAGATATCGTTAAGCTACTTTCCCCCTTTCTAGTCTATTCATCGACGGTGGAAAAAGGCGGAAAGGGCATACTCCGTACACAAGACATTTCTATGTATAGCCTTTTTCATCTACCCTATCAAAGATTTGGCTAAGACTGGAGTGATTTGATTGACTAACAAGACTCTGATTCAAAGTGTGGGGACATATCCCCTACGGAGTATTGGCTGTGCCTCTTCGATTTGGACACCAAATGTGAGATGTAGTCGTGCAGCTCTTGCATTTGTGACGTGGCGGGGCTGAATCGAATGCAAGACAACCTTTAAGCGCTAGGTCGGTCTGGATTTGGGACTGCCCAATTCTTCGTTTAGCATCTTCCAATGTTATTGCTTGGGTGAACTGGTTTCCCTGGCTAAACGAACGTACAGAATTCAACATATGTTCCTGACTTTGAAGCTTGTTGAGTACCATGTCTGGCCAGTGATAGCGCCATGCTATAATTACGCCTCAAAGACACCTTCGTTTTGGAAGATCGTCTAAAAAGATCCCTTACCAAATCATATTCTCCCACTGAGCTATCCTACTAGCCGACAAAACATTAGAAGTGATGCCTGTTAAAAAGGTCGAGAAACGCTCTCACTGGTTGAAAAAGATTTTCAAAGGGCGTAAATCCAGCTCACCAGCGCTCGCAGCCACACCGAGTTCAGGTGCGTACAGATCGAAACTCCAAACGTGGGAACCCGAATCTCACGCAAACAACAGAGCAATCTTCCGTTCACGAACTGCGCTTTAGCAATACCCAGGAACCAACAGCAAAAGATTCACGCCTGCCGAAAGCCGATTTGACCCTCAAAAATGCGAGAGAATCTGCCCAATGCGATGGCGCACCAAAACGAATATCTCAGCCAAGTCCGACCACCGAAACCCCGCCCCAACAGTCACCATTGACAGTACAGCCTATTGAGCAACAAACACCTGTTCAGTCCATGTCCCAGAGACTTTGGGGAACCGCTTATGAGGCCCTTGAAAGCGATGACGATACTGCAAAGCTTGTCAGACGATATTCGGAGACGTTACAAAGAGTGCTTGGAGACAACGGTCCCGCGATTGCTACGTTCGACAGTGGTTCGACCGAACGGAAAGGACAGAAAGATCGACAGATAGTAATGAAAGAACTAGTGGAGAGAGGTCGGCAAAAGGTCTCCAAAGCATCGGAATTACCCACAGCAGTGGGCAATGTTGCTCAATTCATTCTTTCTGCCAAAACCATGATCGACGTGGCGGTCCAAAGTGTACCCCAGGCCGCCTTGCCATGGGCAGGTGTATGTTTGGGCTTGCAAGTAAGAATTTGCATCTGGCAACTTGTTATTACACCAACTTATCATAATTCAGATACTTTCCAACCCCATGAATGCCCTGAAGTCGAATCTTGCTGGCATTGTTCATGTCATCTCCAGGATGGACTGGTACTGCGCTCTGACCGAAGATTTCTTGAGCGATGACAGCATTGAAGTTGGAGGGGAATCCCTCCAAGCAGTCAAACAATACCTGGAGGATAGAGTCATCACGCTCTACAAGGCTCTTCTCTTGTACCAGATGAAAAGCGTCTGCGCCTACTATAGACATCAGGGCCTCGTTTTCCTCCGCAACCTTGTGTTTTTGGATGATTGGGATGCCGACCTCAAGGCCGTTACAGATGCCGAAACAACCCTGCAGGGGGACTTGGATCAATACGGAAAGCAGCATACAAAGTATTCTCTGACGGAGCTCATCAAGAGCTCCCAGGGGATGGAGGGACTTCTCCAGGGCATTGCTCACGAAATTCGAGAGCTGATTGCTCAAAATAAAGCAATGCAGACGGATGAAAAGGACGAGCGATGTCTCCAAGATCTCTTTATCGTGGACCCACAAGATGACATGGAGAAAATCGAGCAAAGCAAGGACAAATTACTAGGCGAGGCGTACAGATGGATTCTCAGCACAGATGAATTTGCCGGTTTGACAAATTGGAGCAACAGCGGGTCTTTGCCACCCTGTCGTGTGCTGTGGATCCAAGGCCACGCGGGAACGGGGAAGACGATGCTCTTGATCGGAGTTGTACGTGAACTGTCAAGCTACTCCGCCAAGTTGGCACCCCACGTTGCGCAGTTCTTCTTTCAAGGAACGGATCAAACACTTAATACCGCGACAGCGGCTCTGAGGTCTCTAGTCTGGTTGCTTCTGGTTCAGCAGCCACACTTGATATCACATTTGAGATCCAAGCACAAGCATGCAGGTTCTTCACTTTTTGAAGGCGATGGGGCATTTATCTCTCTGTCAAATGCGTTCAAGGGCATGTTGACAGACCCCACTTTATCGCCGGTGTATCTCGTTCTCGACGCTTTGGATGAGTGTGAACAGGGATTGAATCAAATGGTTCAACTTATCTCTGAGTCCCTTGCTCTCACAGACAAAGTAAAATGGCTTGTTTCCAGTCGTCCAACGATCCGGTTAAGAATCCCGGAACTGGCAGGTTTGCTGGTAGAGTTGGACGCTCAAAGGCTGCAAGATCCTGTCAACGAATACATAGGATATAGGATTTCTACTCTGAAAGGCAGAGAGGGCTATGACGATTTGGTTCTGGCAGAAATTGAGCGCGAAGTACGTCGGAAGGCTGAAAACACCTTTCTTTGGGTGGCCCTCATGTTCAAAGAACTCGACGCTGGATATGAAAGCCTGAATCCTGCGCATGGCGCATACGCCCTTGAGATCGTTCAAAGCATTCCTTCTGGTCTGTCGAAAGTTTATGACCACATCATGAACAGGATTGAAAAAGGCGTATTGAGGGATCCAATATACTGCAAGGCTGTCCTGGTGGCTGTAGATCTTGCGTTCCGCCCTTTGAGCTTATCTGAGCTAGCCATACTTGCCGATATCCCACCCAGCATAGATCCCCGGTCGATTGTTCAAAAATGTGGTTCGTTCTTGACAATCAAGGAAAACACGGTCTATCTGGTCCATCAGTCGGCCAAGGATTATTTGGATTCGAGTTATAGATCAAGGCTTGACTCCGCTGGTCCTGCAAAAGGGCATACGGAAATCAGTAGGCGCTCGATCAGGAGCCTCTACTCAATACTGAAGCAAAACGCATGGAACCTCAGTTCTGGCCTCAAGCCAAAAGACACGAGTCCGCCTGATCCGGACCCTTTAGCCCCAATAAGATACTCTTGCGTTCTCTGGGTTGACCATCTTTCTTTCCCGAACGAGGAGAGCCCCGACCAAAAAGGGGAACTCATCGAAGAGGCGTTGACATTTGAATTCCTGAGTACCCGGATCCTCCGCTGGCTTGAGGCTCTGTCCCTATTGGGACAGCTTTCCGGTGGGGTTCGATCAATACGAATGCTTCTAGATTTGGCACAGGTATGTTGCTGTCATCATCAATTAGTATAACTTCTAATCCTTGTTAGTTCCGGATGGGCCAGAACTCTCAGCTTGCCAGATTACTGAAGGATGCCGAGAGGTTTGTTCTCAGTCACGGATCGATCATAGAAAGGGCTCCACTGCAGGTATATGCCTCAGCCCTTATATTCAGCCCAACCCTCAGTGACATCAGAAGAGACCTGTGGGAAGAAAGACTGCCCTTCATTCAAGCAGTTTCCGGCATCAAGGGACCATGGGGTGCGGACCGCCAAACGCTCGAGGGTCATAGCGACTGGATTTTAGCAGTCGCTTTTTCTCCGGATGGTAAGATGCTAGCTTCGGCTTCATATGACACCACCATCCGATTGTGGAATGCAGCAACAGCTGCAACTCAACAGACGCTTGTAGGTCACAGACGATCTGTTAGAGCCGTTACTTTCTCGCCGGATAGCACTATGCTGGCATCGGCATCTTCCGACAATACTATCCGACTTTGGAATAACACCACAGGAGCCCTTTATCGAGTGATTCCCGGGCATACTGATTCAATTAACTCTGTGGTTTTCTCCCCAGATGGTAAAATGCTCGCGTCAGCTTCATCCGATCATACCGTTCGGCTCTGGGATGCAGTAACCGGCTTGCCTCAAAGTGTAATTCAAGGCCACCATCGTTGGATATCCGCAGTTGCTATCTCGCCTGATGGTAATATGCTTGCATCGGCTTCATTCGATTGCACCATTCGGCTATGGGACGCAAAAACGGGCGTGATGTGCCGTATACTCGATCGCCATTACAAACCAGTGATGGGAATTTGTTTTTCGCCAGATGGAAAGAAGATTGCGTCGGCCTCTGAGGATACCACTGTTTTAGTCTGGGATACAGCAACTGGTGAGCTACAACACGATTTTGATGGCCATACGGGTTCAGTGAGAGCAGTCGCTTTTTCACCAGATGGAAAAAAGATAGCTTCGGCTTCCTACGATAAGACCATCCGGCTTTGGGATGTGCAGACTGCTGCTACATACCAAGAGCTCGAAGAGCATAGAGGATCTGTGAGTGCAATTGCCTTCTCGCCAGATGGCAAAACATTATCCTCGGCTTCACATGATGGCACTGTCCGGCTCTGGGAGATGGCGGCAGACTCCCTAGAGTTCGATACAGATGGTTACTTCACATCACAAGCACCATATTCGGCACTTCAGGAAAAGCATAGATTGATAAAAGAAGTGACATTCTCAATGGATGGCAGTACGTTAGCGTCGGCTTCATTGGATCATACCATCCGGCTCTGGGATCCGAAGACTGGGGTGCTCCAACAGACATTAGACCATCCCGATCTACTGGCGAGGATACTCGTTTTCTCCCCAGATGGAAAGATACTGGCATCTGTTTTGTCTAGTCGCGCCATTCTATTATGGAGCATTCCGAATCGTGCTCCACAAAATGAGTTTTGGCCTTGTGGAACTGGAGATATCAAGGCAGTTACTTTCTCGCCGGATGGCAAGATGATAGCATCTGTAACGTCGACAGATATAGAGATATGGAATGTGGAGACTCTCGCCCGACAGCAGCTAATCGAGACTCAATTGAATCTAGTCAGGGGGGCCGCGTTCTCAGCAGACAACAAGACGCTAGCGTCAGCTTCGTCTGACCGCACCGTCCAGCTCTGGGATGTCGCAACGGGTACACTCAAAAGAACCCTCGTGGGTCATCGTGGTCCAGTCCGGGCAATTGCCTTTTCACAGGATAGCAAGACCTTAGTTTCGGCCTCATTGAATGATCCTGCCAGAATCTGGGATACAGCAACTGGTGCGCTGAAAATGACGATTCAAAGCCAAAGCCAACTGATCAACGAAGTTGCCTTCTCTGGAGATGGCAAATATCTGAAGACAAATTGCGGAATCTTTAGACTCTGTGCACGGCCAGCTGCCCCTGACAATTGTCCCAAAGAGAAGAATCCCGATGAAAGCCTGCTGATCGGAAACGAATGGATTCGTCTTGCTGGAGATAATCATCTCTGGCTTCCCATAGATTACCGAGCTACTTGCGTAGCTCTACATGGCAAAACTGCTGTTCTAGGCCATCGGTCTGGGCGGCTCACGTTTTTGCAACTTGGGGATTCTCTAGGGAGTACTCATATTCGATAGAACCCTCAACATGATTTACGACCGATAATGCCTTTCTCGTTTTGCTTTTGATTCCCCATTCTCTGTCCTCCTCGCTTTCGTTGTATAGAAGTTTGATTTTTGGGGGGACTATAAAGCATTGAACGACTGGGGGCCTAGGAAAGGAGAAACTACATGGTCATCGAAACTGCGAACATCTCGAAGGGCTTTCGTCTAGGTGTACTGCCTAGGTGGTACGTATAGGGCAAGGCCACTAGCCTCTCCCAGAGGGATTCTCTACGTACGAAGTACCTTGCTGCATGTTATTATCTCGCCCAACGCCAATCGGACAAATTTCGATGTGTCGGACCACTGAAGCGCCATCGTGGTTGCCGCAAACCAATCAAAGCCACAGTCGTCTGTTCGTTCTCTCGCTCAGCCACTTTGAGCTAAGACACGGGTACATACAGAGTACTCCTTACGGAGTAGATTTTCGTACAAGCCATTTTGGGTCGAGGGTCTCGAGCTTCTCTGTTCTCTGAGTGCCTGTCATCTGGAAGTCCCGGCTCCAGAATCCATTATTAGTCACAAAAAGAGAGCGAAGGAATCCCCATGTCACTAGAGCGATTAATGACTGTGGCAACTTTGGAAGAGGAAGCAGGCCATGAGCCTCGACAGCTCCGCTCGGCCTCTACCTGAGACTATCTCCGTAGTGGCACCATGATTTGCTGTGTTAGAAACTAGATTTCCACACCCCACAAGTTTCCTAAATCTAATTAAGCTCCCTGGATGTCCAATCGATTGATACTGTTTGAACAACGCTTGTTCCCCTACTCCGAGGTCTGGCCGGTCCAGAGCACCATTGTCCTGTGAGAATGGAGTTCTGGACCGTGTCTTTGTATTTTCGACATTAAATCAATGAGTTCAGTCTTGCCATGCCCTTGCGAGCGGGAATCCTATTCCAGTCAGATATGAGAGTTTCCTGTTTGCCTTCGTGGATAATAGCGGTAACAGGTAAGACCTCACTGACTGTGCTCCATGACTCAATTCAAAGGCCCATTGGTTGGATAGATCTTGACCTGGAAAGTGAGTGCTGATTTCCATCAAGATTACCCTGTGACCAGGCAGCAAAGAACGATATTGACCAATTGGGCTGCCCGGGACAACTTTCGACCATATCGCCTGTTCGCCTGACGCCGGCGGTCTTAGTTGTATAAAGATACAGGCTCACCGTCAGGCGCAGCGCTGAGATCCAGCACCAAACCTCACAACACCCTTGATCAGCACGACAGTCTTATATCCTTGCCCGCTAGTAGCAGCCAGGATCAAGCCCGCTGCGTCCCAACATATTGATATCTTCATATCCCAGAGAATTAGTACCTGCCACATTCCCCTGAACATTCACTAAATACCACCCCAGTATTCCTGCGCGAGTTTGAAAAGTACGAAATCCCCTCCCCCGTCTTTCCTTCTTGAGCAGCCCTCCTCTGCTCTTCGTCTTCCCTTTTCTCTCTTTTTTTCTCTTGGGCTGACTACGTCACTTCTATAAGGTCCTCGCCTGACCCAAGTCCAACAGGAAGGCCCTAACCTACCTCATTGCGGGTTAAATAGTCTACCCGAAACCCAACCCATTTGCGGGTTGGCGGGTTTTGGCGCGGTCTACTAAACGTTAGGCTGTTATCATTTCCCCCTCATCCCCTAGCTGTGTGCTTCGTGTCTGGAGTTCTTTCGCATTTACTTGTCAATGTCAATCGCCCTCTCTTATAGATAATATAATTATGTTTGGATACACGTGTCTCACTTCAAAATACCCCCGTTCCTACCTCTTCGCTGTCGTCGCTAATGTTGGCCCCCATGGCACCAGCCGCTCCCTAGCCGTGGCCTATCGTCAGGGCAACGACAGCGACGTCTATTTGTCAGATCTGGCGCGTATGAGGCATGTCGTGACAGACATACTAACGCTGATCGACATCCTCTCGGATCCCGCGAACCGCGGGCCGCTTGAGGCGGAAAGGGCGCTCGCGCAGAGCTGGTATCGTCGGTCTCTGGGGCGTACCGAGGCTAAGAGTAGTGAGCGACCCAGCGTTCCAGACTCGCCACAGCCCCCTTTTGTTATGCCTGGTAGCTGCCACTTGAGGGGGAAAGGGCAACTACAGCCTGAGCTGCCGTGGCATGATGACGCCCTTAGCGAGTTCCCCTTTACGACGACGTGCCTTTTGCTGGGGTTATTACGTGACGATGGCCACGGCGATACCAATGTCACCAACCGCAACAGCATGCGCCCAGGCGACGTTCAGCTCCAACCGCTTTCCACTGTGTTCCGTGGCGACTGCGCCGAGTATGGCCTTGTCGTCCTCGATATCTCCGATTTTGACAGCGGCGTTAAGTATGGCATTGTTGGCTTCCCTGTGCGTTATATGGCAGACGTTTGGTACCGCGGCGAGACTGTGGGCTGGGATTATGTCGAAGACCGCCCGCCGGAGAAGGAGCCTGACGTCGTACTTTTCAGCCCGCGGCCTCGAGCGCCGTTGTCTATTCTTCAGTGGCTACGCAAGTACACACATTGTGCCGACTTGGAAGATTATCCCAATAGCCTTAGACTGGAGGATAGACCGCTTGTTGATGCTGCAGCCTTGGACTGTACGTCTGTTTCCACGCCAATTGTCTGCCTGTGAGATTAGGGCGATGTGTATGTGCTGACGTGGAAATGGTAGATATTTGGCCGCCGGAGCTTGAAATCAAGAATGAAATTGAAAATCCGGCTACAGTATTTTCGCAAGGTGTCATCTCAAGCATTTCCAACTGTCCGTGAACTACTCGCGCTTCCCCATGCTTACACATATCTACTGAATTTGCTCACGTATGAAACAGACTTCTGGCCTTCAAAGCCCACCACCCGCGCCAAAGAGGCATCGCTTACAATAGCCTCGCGCTTGACCACGTCACGAGCATCGACAATAGCAGCCTCGCGCTCGACCATGCCATATGAAGTGCCGCAAAAATCACCCTTGGACCGCGCTATCGATAATCTGCTTATTCTCACACAAGAACCCGGTCTCCACCTCGACGAGGAGACAATCGGCAAATTCCAAAAGCTCGCTGAGTTCCGCGAGCAGCTGCGGCGGCGGCTCGAAGAGGTGCCCGATAGCCTAGGCCCGTTCTCCGAGGCCTCGAGTCATATTCTGCGTGTTGCGTACGCTGGATGTACGCACCTCAACTGGGTCGCGTTTAAAAACCTGGCACCCGGAGTGATCGCTGCCGCTGTTGCATCCGATGAGCTTCGAAACGCGTCTGCGCTCAGCCTCTGCGTCGATGAATTCAAGCTGGAGGGAGATGAGGGAGACCTCGGTGATCTAGCAGCGGTTCTGGGGCAGTCTACGACCCTCAACCAGCTCTATTTCTTACAGGGACCGGAAAGGGACAGCGATGACGCCTCCGCCCGTTTTTACACGCAGCTGCTGCTTCGGGGGAGGTCATCAGGAGACTTGGGGTGGCTCCGCGACAAAACCATCTATCCGACTTGCGCCTTTTCTACACCCTTGTGCAACCACAGGTTCACATGGCCCTCCACTGCTAGTGTCACTTTCACTTCCCCTGATATCCAAGTCTTTCCCGTAATGCATATGTTCACGTTTCGGGGTTATCAGCGCGAAGATGTCGCAGATGCAGATCACCACCTTCAACAATACCAAAACAGCCACAGCTATAGTCGCTACTACGATATGAGCAACACTCTTCTGGACGCTGAGCGCTTTGCAGTCCGATTTCTATCATACCTCCATTCCGTGGGGTCGGGTTCTGACAAGGCCATCTTGCGATTCGCATACGAAGCCTCGTCACCGATTACCACTACTACCACCACCGAGAACGAAAAATCGCCGCCGCCATTCCCATCGTCAGGACAGTTCGCTGCGAGCCCCATTCCCGCCGGATTCTTTGGAAATCACCTCGCAGCAAATGATCAGTCAAGAATCAAAGTCAGAGTCAGGTATATACAGCCCGGCAGCTGGGTGATTCTTCTGGACCAACGAGGCCGCAGTTTAAGCGACGAAAGCGATGTCTTACTACGATACTCTTTTGTTAGAATCCGTGGAGCCTCTGCCGATATTGCACCTGAGAATCAACAACAAAGTCCCGTTCCCGCCCCCGCCTCTAATTTCGTCGACGTTGTAGGTGGGGTAACAGAGTTCCTGCGCGAGACCGTGCCAGGGATCGATATATCCCCGTACGAGAAACGGGTCGAGGATGTTGGGAAAGACCTCCACACGCGGCGAGCTTCCCTTGCAACGGGGAAACGACGCATTGACATCGGCGTTATGGCTGAGAGCAGCGCCCGGGCATTGCTTGACCAATTACTTTGATACCCCGATACTAATTTTTCCAGTAAATCTCAATATTAAATATAGCAGAGCTGGCTTATTCATTTCCAAACTGAGCTGGAATGGATAGGGAGTGACTTTTTGCTATGTAGCGTAATTGTGACGGTCAACCTTTCTAACATCACAGGATCACAGGAGAAGGATTAAAGATCTCGAAATAGAGCTTCCCAGCATGCCATTGCTAACAGCTGTTTATATCAGGTGTCAACGCATACGCATTTCATGATACAAGATTGTCCCCTTGATCGGCTTGAGACACATGGATGCAGTATGATTTTGACGAAGAAAGCGTAAACTTCTGTTCATAAGGTGAGTAAGAAGGAAAATAATTTGAACAAATGGTTACACCATCGGAGTGAAATCATGATACGGATTGGAGCTGTCCATAACGGCTACTCATATTTCTGGCTAACAATGAAGGCTAAAATAACAGACACCAAGGAGGAAAAGGAAGTAAGCACAAGAAAAAAAGAAAAAGCAAAAAAGTGGTTGTCACACCAAATTGCCAATGTCCCTGTAACAGGACGGTGTAATCTGGCGACGCCATCCCAGGGTGGAAATGTCTCTGCAGAATTGCTTCCCTCAAGTGTCATTTCCATTGCTTAATGGCCTCCAGCGTCGTGGATTACTCGCACGAGTGAAAATGCCAACCCCAGGATTCGTACCAGGCACCTTTCCTGCTGGCCTTGGCGGCCGAAGCAGGGTAACTGGCATGGCGGTGAGCCTTCCACTAGGTTATCCATGACAGATTAATTTTATATCGTTGGCTTCCGTATATGACCTACATTTAATTGATATATTCTATGGCTCTATATCTTATTTATTATGAAATTTTGAGTGGAATTAAGTAGAATGGTCTAATGTACATAAATTTTTCACTGGAAGCTCACTCCTCACATCGTCCAGTGTCGATATCAGCCTCGGCAGGATCCACAAACATCGGGCGATAAGCAACCTTATGCCCAATGTATAGCACCGCAAACAGTATCAGACTCAGGTAGTTGATAAAGAAGTCGGTAACACTGAAATCTGGAATGAAAGCAGTGAAGCCCTGAGTGATGATAATGAGCATGTTGAAGAACAAGCCATACCACGAGAAAAAGGGCTGCCAGGGAGCCTTATATGGAAGACTGTCGCGTGGAACACCCTGCGCAGCCAAAGCTCTCATGAATGCTAGATGGCAAATATTCAGCGATGCCCAGGTAATGAAACCCGCCAAGCCAGCAATCTGAATCAACCAGTTGAAAACAGTGGCTCCATCATTTGACACATTGAGGAAGCCTAACAGGCCAAAAAGAGCTGTAAACCCAACGCTCAAATATGGAACGCCGTGTTTGGTTGTTTTCAAGAAGAAACGAGGAGCGAACCCCTCGTGAGCCAACCCGACTAGAATCCGACTGCCGCTATAAACGTTTGAATTGGCAGCGGATAGGACCACAGTGAGCAGGACTGCGTTGATGATACTCGGTAGGACGTTGACACCGGCGCGTCTCGCGGCGATGACAAAGGGGGACGCATCTGCATTTGTGGCATCGGAAGTAAGGCGCTCGTCGTTGGACGGCACGACGATACCGACGAAGAAAATCGTAAAGACAAAGAAAAACACGATCCGGAAGAAGGTCTTCCGAATGGCAGAGGGAATATTCTTGCGAGGGTTTTTCGTTTCACCCGCCGCGATACCGACAAGCTCAGTACCCTGGTATGAGAACCCAGCTTTGATTAAAATGGCCCAAAATCCGACGAACTTAGCCACGGCGTCTTTTGCAGGATCCTCGATCAGATAAGTGCGGAAGGGGCCAGGATGCACCCAGTATCTGAATCCCAGATAGCCCTCTCTTCCAGCACCAGCATTGATGCAGATGGCGAATATCATAAACCCGACGACAGTGATGATTTTGATACTTGAAAGCCAGAACTCGATTTCACCGTAGCAACTCACGGGAAACATGTTCAAAATGATGATGACCACCCAAAACACAGCAATGAAGATTGCCATTGGGATTTTGTCATCCCAATATTGAATGATCAGGCCGGTGGCAGTCAATTCAAGGGCAAATGTCGAGGCCCAGGAAAACCAGTAGATCCAGCCCATTGCAAAGCCTAAGCTGGGATCGACCAAGCGTGTCGCATAGGTTGCAAATGCTCCTGGGATCGGTAGGTAGGTGGCTACCTCGCCCAAGGCTATCATGACTGAATACACGATTGATCCAATGAAGGTGAATGCAATCAGGGCGCCGACGGGGCCTGAAGTAGCAATGGCACTTCCACTACCGATGAATAGACCAGTGCCTATAGCACCTCCTTGAAAACAATGAGCATGAGAATAGGAACGAAACTTTGATAACTTGGAGTGTTCTTACCCATTGCGATCATCTGTAGATGCCGGCTTTTGAGCCTTCGCTGCAAATCTGGCTGCGGTTGCAATTGGTGTGACTCGACATTGCTCTGTTTCTCTGGGTTCTTTTCTATGTCTTGGTCGTGCATTTTCCCTGAGTGCGTTCTCAGAGATCAAATATTGAGTTATGGGTTTGATAAACTTTAAATGTGGCAGAGCCGCTGTTGGAAAATCTCAAGGGATTTCCTGGCCTCTGATTGGCTGAAAATCAAGTTGAGCCGCCGACCACGTGAACGATTTCGATGCCTTAATTTTTCATGCGCAGGTCCATTAGTTCATTCGAGCATAAAATAATCAAGATTAACTATCTACGAAGTAAAGAAGGTATCCATACACCTTGAATTCCGGCAGCAAGGGAAACATCCGTAGTATAGGATATCCCCGTCATATCTTAACTTTGTGTGACTATGGAATAGTGGGAATCATTCCGATCACTTCCTGATATATTCAGCCACCGTGTTATGTCAACTTGTATAGCCTTGGGGTGTACCGTGGGATGTCGAATTCGCTCTATCAACTTTAGGTGATTTTTAACATATTTCGGAATCTATCATGCGTTAAACAAGTTCATCACTTTTTTTGTACACGTATATATAGATGTGTATTGGTGTTGTACTCACAGTCACCCCTTTTTTCTCCCGTACTTTTTCCATATCCTAAAATGGTCATTGCCGTTAGTTCTGACATTAAGGCGGAGGTTTCTGGAACCTTGCAGTCATTTCTTCTGAATATTGGTTATGAGTTTCCTCCTCTGAAACTACATCCTGCAGTCGAAGACGAAGTCAAGCTGCATTTCAAGCATAACGGATTCCCAGAGGAATTTATTTCAAAGATAGAGCCTCAGATCAAGCCCAGCGTTGGAATTGCAACCACCACTTTCCAAAAGACACCCTTCAACATACAATGCACAGTGGCAGTATTCACTACTTACTGTCTCATCATTGACGATTTTGCCCATGACCTCGACTTCAGGCATCACCTCAAGCAATTCAATATCTGCCTTCTGACTCGACAGCCTCAAGGAAGTCCGGTTCTCGAAAGCATGGGAAAGTTCTTAAGCTCCTTCCATTCTATATTTGGTCAATTTGCCGGCGACATGATTATCAAGGATTCATTACAGTTCATCAGCGCATGTTACGCTGAAGCTGAAAGCGAGAATATCCAGTTTCCCGCGGAAGCACACCTATTTCCGAGCTATTTTCGCCTGAAAGTTGGCGTAGCCGAAGCCTACTCTTTCATGTTGTTCCCGACGACACAATTTTCCGAAGCCGAATGCCTCCAATACTGCCTACCCCTGATACCATATTTGACATGGGGGTTTAACTGGATCAATGACATCATGTCGTTTTATAAAGAGATGGTCGAGCAAGACCGCTTCAATTTTGTCGCGAACTCGGCTAGGTGTAAAGGCGTGACTCATATCGAGTCTCTGAAAAAGCTTTGTGATGATACAAGCGACCTGATTCGGACTTTGCGAACGCTCGGAAAGGCTCATATTGGGATTTCGAACGCGATTGAGGCTTTTGTTTCTGGTTATGTTACGTACCATCTGACGCAGAGACGGTATCAAATGGGGGACTTAGATTTGACATTCGCTCCCAGTGCTAGGAGTTGGCCCAAAGCTCCGGCTGGGAGCAGGGAGTAAACGATATATGGGTGACTAGTTAATAATAAAGCTTTCGGAGTGTGGTATGAGGGATTCGAGATACCACAGCACAAATGAATTTGAGCCGAATCTTTTCTGTCAGATAACAGAAAAGAGAGTCACTGTATCTCGCACCTGACTTTGGCTCAGTTAAACGGAATGCAGTGGGGGCCTAAAAGGATCTAATGTTTGGAGTATATGGAAAGCATGAAATGGTGTTAAGGTTCATGATATCTAAGATGTGAACTTTCTTTTCACTGTGGGAAAAGAACATAAAGTCATCATAATACCCTTGGTCTTCATGAGTGCGGGACACCTGAGAGATGTGAATCAACAAGTCGCCGAACGAAATGCTTCTTAGTCTAGTACACGCCGGTTTCGGATAGCAACTTGGGCTCATTAGTCAACTATGGCCAATCCAAGCTTTAGCTGAGGCGTGAAATAGCTCATTTATATATCAAGACTATCAAATGCTGTTCTTTGGGTGTCATTTTATCCTATGTGTTGAAATATCGAGAGTTGCTGAGCCAGCCTTGCGGCTTTCGGAACGTGAAATTGACACCAGCTCAAATACGAAATCACCATCCGAAAGAAAAAAAATTAAGTGTGCCTTGGATACTAACCATCAAGCGCAATAAGCGGAATCATTGATAGGGCAGAGTACAGAATACTCCGGGAAACAGTTTAATGCTCAAATACCCGTAACTTTGAAGATCTGTTTTATTATACCGTAAAGCCAGTACACGAAAATACCACTACTATCCATTCATGTACATAAACCCAACGAAGATAAGAAGAAAAGTGTCACCCTCAACAATCGCTGAGACTTCTAAAATATGAAAAAGGCCGAGGAAAGTGATCTTGAAATGTGACGATGAACACGCTCCGGGGTGGAATCATAAGAATCGAGCCTGAGCACAGGATTAATCAGATCGAGCAGGCCCTCGGAATCGTTATGGAGCTTCTGAAATTGCTAAGGTACGCCAAGGGGGCCGGCCCCAGCTAACCTCCCTAGTGGAAACGGGAATGATTACTTACAGCAGAATTATGTGGTCAAGTCAAAATACTCATTGGCTGCGCAGAATCTTCGATACTACCGATATCGGCTAATGCACACCGGGGTAGGTGGTTCAAAACATATATATCACACTGATCGGTACTCCTTATTCAATTTTGCAATATCCGAGTCAAATTCTCTCGCTATGACATCGACTGACAAGGCTGTCGCTCGCAATATTGGCCCTGACATACCCCTTCCTTCCGAGAAAGAGCCAGATATATCCCACACAACGAGAGATAAGGTTGATGATCATGGAAAATTGGATCAAGAGTGTCTCGATCGAGAGGCTCAGGCTGGTGTGAAGGCAGTCCAGGCTACGGCAGCCGTGTGGACCAAGTGTCATTTGATCCTGGCTTATGTGATGTGAGAGTCTCTTCATGGTGCAATCGTTTCAGTTGTTCAGGCCACTTACCTTTCTTGTGTGAAGCATTTGGTTTATTTATTTTGTTACCTCCATCCAGGAGGTCGTCATCCGTTCTCTCAACCCCTACGTGACCAGTGCCTTTATGCTCCATTCTTTGACTGCTGCCACGAGTATTATGGCCAATATCATTGGAGGATTGAGTTATATCCCTCTGGCAAAGCTACTAGACTCATGGGGTCGGCCTCAGGGTATGACTTTGACGATGATCATCTGGGTTGTGGGATTCATCATGATGGCGGCCTGCGACAACGTTCAAACCTACGCGGCTGCACAGGTTTTCTCTTCCGTGGGGTATGATAACCATACTGAGTCTTTCCAATATATCTACAACAGATTGACTAATATGCGATAAATCTAGATCTCAAGGAGTCAGCTATTGTTTGACAGTTTTCATCTCAGACACCTCCGCGTTGAAAAACCGAGCCCTCATGTTGTCGTTTGCAACATCGCCATACATAATAACCACTTGGATTGGAGGACCAATTTCCCAGAGTGTCCTCGAAGGGCCTGGCTGGCGATGGGGATTTGGAATCTTCACCATCTGCGTTCCGATTGTGGTGGCGCCTCTGTGTCTATTGTTCTTCTGGAATCAGAAAAAGGCCAAGAAGATGGGATTGCTCTCACCAAGCCATGGTCCGCTCACCTTGGCAACAGTAAAGCAATACTGCGTTGAGGTCGACTTGGTTGGGATCATCCTTCTAGCGGGCGGAATGGCTTTGTTCCTTCTTCCGTTTAGTCTCTGGTCATATCAAAAGGATCAATGGCGCTCCGCCATGATTATTTGCATGATCGTTTTTGGAGGACTTTTGCTCATCACTTTCGCTATCTACGAACGATTCTGGGCCCCGGTGACCTTCATTCCATTTAAGCTATTGATGGACCGAACCGTCTTCTTTGGTGGGCTCATGTTCGTCTTCGAGTTTTTCAATTCGATGGTCTGGGGTAGTTATTTCTCATCAATGCTCCAGGTTGTGTGGGGTCTGAATGTGACAGAAGCCAGCTATGTCTCGGCAATATACAGAGTCGGATCCTGCCTGTTTTGTCTCCTGGTCGGCTTCCTGATCCGATGGACTGGTCGATTCAAATGGCTAGCCGTTTATTTCTCTTATCCACTTATGATATTGGGTGTTGGGCTGATGATAAAGTTCCGCCAGCCCGATGCGGGCATTGGGTATATTTGCATGACTCAAATCTTTGTTGCCTTCGCTGGTGGAACCACTGTTATCTGCGGCGAGCTTGCTATGATGGCGCCTTCAGATCACCAGCATATCGCTGTTATACTGGCCATGCTCAATCTATTTGGTAGTATTGGCAGTGCAATTGGATCGACTGTGTCTGCTGCTATCTGGACCGGTGAATTCCCAAAGGCATTGGCCAGATATATGCCGCCGGAGGTGAGTGTGGCGAAGGTTTATTCGGATATAACGGCCCAGCTGTCGTATGAATGGGGAAGCCCGACTCGAAATGCCATTGCTCGCGCCTATGGAGATGCGCAGCAGTACATGTTAATCACCAGTGTTTGTATGCTGGTAGTTGCTTGGGGATGTGCTGCGATGTGGAGGGATATCAAGATAAAAGATCTCAAGCAGGTCAAGGGGCGCGTGATTTGAGTTGATATACTGTTCTAAAGGAAGTGAAAAGCTTCTAGATGAAGTTTGTTGGGATCAGATTGAAGGAACGGTAATAATTTTGCTTTTATGAGCTGCCTGTTATACAATGCACGGTTATCGTATAGGACTAAAAACATCACTTTTAGAATCTTCTCCCGCTCTATATTTTCGAAAAAGTTACAAACTTTTACAATCACATATGTTCCCCCAAACCCACTCTTTGCAGGTACAATTTTGGAAACACCGTTCTGAATTCCCACGCCGTTTTACTCGGGCATATTCGATACTTCTCTGGATTCTTGCTGCAGTCTTGAATCTCGTCTTCTGCCACTACAACTGGACTCAGGTCTCAGCCAGTCGCAGTCCCAAAGCACTTTCACATAAGGAATCTTTGTCAGGGGACTCAGGGCCAAGTGGTGTTCTCAGCCACTACCACCCACAATAAGGGTAGGCTGCAGCCCGCAAAGAGCGGTTAAGGCAGAAAAGCGACAAATAGGGCGGGATTTTATTCCTGCAACAGTGGACTACTGATTCTTTTGTTTCACTGGATGTCTCAAACTCAAATATGTGACCAGAATTGTTCGGAAATCCCCGCGACCAGCAGATGTCGGCCCGCGAGTTTATTCCCGGATATGAGTGATTTAATGTCCAATAAAAGGGTGTTCAAACTTTCCAGCGCACCGAAAAAGTCAAGCTGTGTCCACAATAGAATAAGTCCATGGGTATACAGACCTGGTCCCCCATGTCGGCCATCTGATAATTTCTGATCAGATAAGATTAGGGACCCCACTCTGTATTTCCGTACGATACAAGTGTCTGGTTGGTAATACCCCCACCCGTATTCAATGATATTACCTTGTAAGCATCGGTCGAGACCTTCCAATGTTGCTAACGCCAATGATCGGCACGTGCCAACTTGATTTCAACAATTAATTCCCACTCGACTACGTTCATAAACTCGGGGTGGGGTTGGCTCATACTACGGAGCATGTACGGAGGGCTACCTCATAACATCCACTAAGAATTCTGAATACCTCCACAGTGAGTACCCCAACCCATATGGATACAGACCAAAGCTCTCATCTATTCGAGCAATAGGTCGAATTTCTAGATATGGATTTCCCAAGAATGGCGGCTGTTCTATGGAGTATGTCCGAAAACCTTTCACACAATCAATGAAACCTCACCCGGTAGCCTCGATCACCAATACGCCAAGCCTTGGGTCTGACTCTCTATCCGCTTGGGCCTCCTAGTAGTAGCCTCCAAGCTCCTTTCCAAGACTGCTGAAAAGGAAAGACCAGTCCAGTTCCATCGACTGACGACTATCGCGAAGAGTGGCGAGGGCAACATCTCAGCCCATATCGAATACGAAAGACAAATTAGATTCCCTACCAGGGGATAGTTCAGAAAGATTTAAAGAAAGTACGTAGCGTGCAATTCACGGAATAAAGTGCATCTGTATGCTAACATCCCTTGGCGCCAACCTTGGAAGTCTCCCGAAGTCGGATCTGATAAGAAAAAGTCTCCATTATAAAAAATTACATACATGTGAAATTGGGGCCTTAGTTTCTCCGGGGCTGGGCAATGGAATGCTTGAGCTGGTCATATCCGATAATTTGCTCGGCTTGAGAACTTGCCGGCCCCTGGCTTGGTTTCTTTTCCCCCCATCCCCACAGTTCCTACATTACTGCCAAAAGCCCACTATACGAATCGCTGCCATGCCTAGTATCGAAGAACAGCCTCCCTTTAGGGTTCTCGTTGTCGGAGGATCTTATTACGGGTTGGCCGCTACTCTGAACCTTGTCGATTTGTGTCATGGCCGAAAATGTCGATTCAATTTAGATGAGAACGACAGGGGCCCAGAGTACAAGGTTCCCGTGCAAGTGACTATTGTGGACGAGCGCGACGGTTATTGTGAGCAATATCTCCATATAGCAGTCCAAAAAATGTCACTGACGCTACTTACCTAGACCATCTGATCGGACTGCCTTTAGCCATAGCCTCTAATGCCAACGCTAGTACGTTTTGGAAGAAGTTCGAGGACATCCCCGCCCTCCAGTCCCCGGATATCAGTCCCATCCAAGGACGAGTAGACTCGATAGACTGCAAGTCCCGGACTGCGCGGATCCATCAACGTACTGCGAACGGTGGGCACAGAATGGTCGAAGAAAGATATGACTATATGATTGCGTGCTCGGGCTTACGAAGAGAGTGGCCTAGTGCGCCCAAATCTTTGACTCGTGAGGCATATCTAGCCGAAACTGCAGATTCTGTACAGAGTATTGAGAAAGCCATGGAAGGGGTAGTTATCATTGGAGGCGGTATGTCACATCATCTTCTTACGTACATCCAAGTGGTAACAATTGATCGGTTCGTCGCAGGTGCTGTTGGTATCGAAATCGCCGCCGAGATCAAAATGCTCCGACCTCAGACAAAGGTGACTCTCGTTCACTCTCGGCAACAACTGCTCTCCTCTGAAGACCTCCCCGATGAGTTCAAAGCCAAGACGCTTGAAATATTGAAAGAGTCTAAGGTCAAAGTGGTACTGGGAGCACGCGTCCAGGATACAGTTCTCAGTAGCGACTCCGCTCCCGTGAAGTACACGATGAAGCTTTCGGATGGCCAAGAGCTTATTGCTGATCATGTAATAAATGCCGTGTCACGGTTTGCACCAACATCCTCATACCTTCCTCCGGATGCCTGTGATCCTGAGGGATATGTTCGTATCACGCCCGGTCTTCAGTTTGCCACAGATGTGCCCAACAAGGAATACCACTACGCTGCCGGTGATATTGCCTCCTGGTCTGGTATTAAGCGTGGAGGAGCGGCGATGCACCAGGCGCACTTAGCAGCTGTCAATATCCACCAGCAATTGCTAGCGAAGCGGTACAATACGAAGCCCAAGTTTGTCGAGCTAGTTGAGACAGCTCCGATGATGGCTTTGGCTCTTGGAAACACAGCTGTTGGGTATTTCCCAGTCATGGGGTTGTCCTCGGGCGATGAGATCCGTAATATGTTTTTTAGTGATGACCTAGGCTATGAAAGTAAGTCGACAATTTTCCAGCCTGATTGATTGAGCTAATGAGAGCAGTTTGTTGGAAATGGATGCGTTTGGGGGAAGCGACCGAGTAATCATTTCAAATTGATAGAGAAGATATGGAATGAAATGACATAGATATAGGGCAATTTTCTGTCATAAAAAAGAGTTTTCCATGCTCGTCGTATGTCAGCCGTGTGGCTCACACCTGGTGTAACCTCCTTCGGAAGTGGTCTATGACACGGATCCAGCCTCAAGGCTAGCAATTCAGCTTCATGAAGGTTATTGGGAATTATCCAACTCCAACCGAATAGCCTAAGCTGCATCTGAGCATTGTGAGTAAAGGCATAGAATGGGTATGTGAGACTTCAACTACAGAAATTGAAGGGGTTGAAATGCTTGCTCCACATCGCATCGCCTGAACCCAGGACTTCGTCCAAGGCAAACAGAGTTGGAAACGAGTTCTAGGACAGTCAGTCGGGCTAAGAACGGAGCTTCAGAGACGTCCTGACTTACGTTTTGTTAAACTTGCAACGCTGATAGCCCCTTTCGTAAGTGACTCTCGATTCGATGCAGCGGGGCATCTAATCGTCTTCACACCTTTGGAGCGAAGAAACTCTTCCAAGTCCTGCATATCAAACCATTCTCCTTCAAACTCCTTTTCAATGCCAGTATGTGAGGAAAAACACGCCAGCGGGTTTTTGATTATTTTACATGGTTCATGATACTCGCTGACGTAAATCGCCATTTCTTGGTTCTCAAGCGTATCTTTGGCCCGATGGGTGCCTGCTCCGCCAAGGCTAAAAAAGGGTACATCTTCGAATCCTCCAAGTTGTCTCTTGCTCATTCTTGCATGCAAGGCTGATTCAAAAAACGCAGCTAAGCGGTCTTGAGTCACAATCTGCAGGAGGAAACGGAAGTGATGATTGGTATGATCCAATTCGATGGCTGGGTTACTTAATGTAAGGTATCCCTGATAAATCACGGTTATATGCAGTTGCTCGATGAAAAGAGGCAAAGGGATGACAGGTCCCTTTGATAACTCCAGCGGGTTGATTTGTCCAGGGATGCTTGGACTTAGGATTTGTCGTGGTGCAATATCCATCACTGGTTCAATCGACTTATCGTCGGTAAAACCTTGGGTCTCTGGTGAGGAAGTAGAAGTTTGTAGTCTAGGGGAACTGAATGAGTGTTCAGTTGTGGAGTTGCCTGTCGATTTGTCTTTTTGCAAGGAAGGTAGTCCGTCAGGGTCCTCAACCAGGTTGAAAATGGTTAATATGAGGTCGTAGAGTTGGTCCACGAGGCTACGATCACGGAACAAGTGTTTAGACAACAAAAGCTTGTTATAAAATGAGATCGCCGCGAGGCCTAAGGCCTGAACCTTTGTCTCTAGTTGTTCGATTTTCTTTTCAAGAGACACAACCTTCTCAATTTGCCTTGATCGATAACCACGCTGCGCCATTCTGACTTGTTTCCGACGTCTCTTCGTGGGTCGTTAGCAAGTTGACACATCGGTGTAGATAGTAAGCTCTTACGTCACGACTGTCACCAATATCTTCTGAATCTAAAGCTAGAGCTGAGACTTGTGGTATACCGGATGCTTTGGTAGACCTAGAACTCGTAGTACTTTTGTGCGATTGTGTATTGCCCTCTCCCGGATGTGGTCGCTTGTTTCGGATGTGTGGTGGACCAATAGGATACGAAGCAGCGGAGAGAAGTGAAGTAATTCGTGATGCTGCCGAAACATCACTGGAACTATCTAACTGGTATGGCAGGGGGGGTCCCGCATATATCTCACTCAATGGTATTAACGGCATTCCAATAAATGATTGAGGGTTCTCCGAGTCGGATAACAGATCTGAACCTTCAACCATCGTGTATCGAGTGTAGCTCTGCTTGAGGCAACAGAATAAGAAAGCGAAGAGAATCAGACAGAACTGAGATGATGGGCGTAATATTTAAACGAAGGTGAGGATGTATTGTGTCTAATCGATATGAAATAGTAACATAGAACCTCGGGCCGGGGGATCACTAATCATGGTGGGGATGTTCGGTTGGCCCGGGGTTGCCCACAGTCTTTGGCCACATCGGCATTAGCGCTCTGCAAAGCCACAAAGCCCGAAACCCAGCCCGCCCCTGGTGGGCGGCCCGGGGCGAAAGCCCAAAAAGCACCAAACAGTGCAAATAATCCCGAAAACGTGACTTTTTTACAAACTCTATGTATAGATCCCATTTCTTACCATTTTCTTAGGGTAATATTTCCTCACTATGATTTGATATTGTAAATTAATAGTTGAATATATTGATTACGTCTAAAAACGCGAGCCAGCCCGCCACTTCGAAAGGTAACCGCCAGCCACATACGAAAAGATTGTATACGAGTCAGATAGCCAAGATAAAAAGTGAACAACGTCACATCTTATTGTGAAGATGAGTCTGAGTCCTAGCTGTCCTTCGTACTGACAGCTTCTTCCACCAAGGATATGTGCGTGGCGCATCTGTGGACAGTACATCCTTGAATGCTGGCTTACGCTTCCCAAAGAAAGATGCCTTGAATTCAAGGTGGTCCCTAGCCCATGTCAGCAAGCATGTAAAATCCAAGCAAAGAGGCTCTTCCCCGATTGTATACGTACTTTCCGCCGAACATGTCATACATCAATGGACTATCCACCAAGTGAGCGCCTTCTGCAGTTCCGGGATTTCGCCAGATAAGTTGTCGATTCAGATGGACGGCCATCGTGCTCACGTTCTCAAGGATATCCTGTGCGAGCTCAATTGCGCGCGGCATAACGTCCTTGGGTTCAGGCAAGAGCTCCGCAAAGATGCCATGCAGGGCCGGGGAGTGAGCGGGATATCTTTTTCCAGTAGCTAGAAGGTATGTCGCATTGCTGTATCCAACCATCCGGGGTAGAAAATACGAGCTGCAAGACTCCATGGTGAGGCCAATGCGTGAAAAAGGGAACCCAAATTCTGCGTGTTGCGGCGCGATACTGGGATCCAGGTTAACTTTCAATGACCTTGAAGCGCGAGGTAGATACGTACCGGATGGTGGCAGCCAGAGTTGAAGTCATTCCAATTCCCACAGCAAGACCATTATATGCTACAATAATGGGCTTGCTGCAGTCAAACATAGCAAGTGCCAAGGTTCCACCGGGGTCTCGCATCTCACTCGGTGGCAACAAGTCCTTTGTTTTGCTTGTGTCCATAGTAAGGTCAATTCCAGCGCTGAATGTTCTACCTGCGCCTGTGAGGATGACGATTTTGACTCGGTTATCCACGTCGATGGCCGTGAAAAAGGTTATAAGCGTATATATCATGTCACTTGTAATTGCATTGAGCTTGTCGGGTCGATTGAGAGTAACAATCTGGATGGGCGTCACCCCAGAAGCCGATTCCGGGAAGTTGTTGATTCGGATATGGCTATCTGGGGTATTCACATACGTGTCGGGGCTAGAGATAATTGGTTCGTCGTAGGCCATCTTGCAGGATGTCTGTATAGTTGATCAAATGTATTTGGGAGTTTGTTGGAGGCAATCGGCTTCATTGCACGTAATATATGTACATCATGTACGGAGTACGTGGACGGCACTTGGCCTCGGTTGGGATTTACTCCGCATTGATTACCGATACAAATCAACTCAAGAGGGAGGAGAGAGTAAAATTCCGTCCAAGGGCCGAGGCATTGGCATAGCTTCTATATTCCCACTCGTATTATGAGAAATCCCACAAAATTGGTTTGCAATTTGAACTAAGAGTAACGGATGAGCAGGCCGCGTGTCAAAGTATATAGCCGGACGATCTTGAAAGAAAGACTTTACGTTTGTGGAAGCTCATGATATTGCGTTGTACCAAGTGCGAAGATCCAGGGGTCGGATCCAAATCAAGTCAGTGCTTCTGCCTGAATATACCTGAAGGTGCATCTTCGTCCAGATGTTTTTGGGTAAATTCTGTATTCAGCGTATTCATAGCCTGCCAGATGAGTGTGTTCATCCGGATCTTGAAGATTGGCTATGAAATGGGCACATAGAATTAACATCTCTACGAGTTGTATCAGACTACTAATGGTACTAAATAGATACCTATCAATATTGCCATTGGCTTGAGTTACATTACTCGGCATGGAACCACTGATGCCCAGAGGCGACATCCTCAAGATTATAAGCAGGTGGACCGTACAGAAGTGGCTTTGATAGAAAACGTTTAAATACACTAATTGCGTACTCATCTTTGGAAGCCCCTAAATCCGTGATTTCTTCGCAGCTTGAATAGCGCCCATGGCACCCATGATGAGTGCTCCAGTATTGTATCGATCTGGATACAACTTCGTCATGGCTTCCACAATATCTCTAACAGAGTTCGAATTCCCTTCCAATACGTTCCCAAAATCTCTGATGTATTGCTTCGTGTTCGTCAGATGCCAGCGGCCCATGATTTCCCCTTCTTGGCAGTGGCCCGGGACCACGTACAAAGGGTCAAGAGCCTCAACAACCTCGACCGCACGAATCCACTCTTCACGCTTCGCAGCCGTGTTGGCTTCAAACAGCATCTGGTGTACCTGCCCGTACACAATGTCTCCACATACTGCCAGCCGGAGGTCGGGAACCCACAATGCAGTGGAATCATAGGTATCCGAGTGGCCCACCTCGACCGCCTGGAACAGCCATTTATTCTGGAGAGTGAATTTATTGCTTGATGGAAGGGCCTGGGCCAAAACAAACGGTTGTTTGATCTCCCCCGGGAAGCGGGACCCCCATTGTGCCTCAAAATTCTTCTCTTCAATCTGCTCTTCCATGTGCCGCAGAGTGGCTGCTGTGGCAAGGGGTGTGGTCTCAGGGAATCGCTGCACCAACAGTGGAAGCCCGAAAAAGTGGTCGCCGTGTCCGTGTGTGATGTAAATGTAGGATAACTTTCTTTTGGGAGCGATGCGCTCAATCCATCCGATGAGGTCTTGGGTTTGCTGGATGGTGATCGGTGTGTCGACTAGAACTGCTTCGGTGGCAGAGTAAATGAGGGTACATGAGATGGGTGACCAAAGACCTCCACCACTTCCTTTGCCTGGGCTTTTGAAAGGGACTGGAGGGGCGATGTAGACAGCAGAGCGGAGTTCGGACATTGTTCAGATAGTGAAAAGGTAGCTTCAAGCAAATTCAGTTTAACTTTCTTTTCTGTTCGAATCTTTCTACCAAGGTCGCAACGTCGCAAGATCGACTTATTTATGTACCAAGATGCGTTTCTGTCTAGGAAAACACCGACCTCGGGAGGTTACGTCGATCACTAATCATGAAAAGTTGCCGAGCCTGAGACTTGAGACGATGTATGTACGTTAGTCCATCATTAACTCGGATTCTCGGTATTTTCAGTTCTTTTCGTTACACTCGAGCCTGGATCACCTAATTCTCTGCAACTCCTGTCTGCAAGCATTACATCAACGAAACATACTGGTCTACCTTCCTCCCATGTTTTGGTTAAGAAATTGGCTTTCATTTGAAAGGCGGTTAGTCAAAGGCAAAGACAAAGAGCCAAAGAGCAGAAGGAACAAACGCAAAGATTGCAAGGAACATAGGTAACAAGCTCAGGATTCTAATACCCAACTAGCCTGTGTGTTTGAAGCAGGTGTAAAGTTCGTCGAAGGCAGCCTTGACTGCTTCGGCCTCAGCTTTCAAGGCTTTGCGAGAATCCTCGTTGGCTCGAAGGTCTTCCAGAGAACTTGCAGAGGCCAGGCGGGTATGCAGAGTAGTGATGGTGTTCTTCAGTGGTGCAAGAAGTTGACAAATGTCTTCACGCATGGCCGGTGTGATGTTATAGAGTTGCAATTGCTGCTCGTACGAGAGGTTCCATCCAGTGAAGGAGCATGGTCTCTTTTGGCTGGAGATTTTCCACCAGCAATTAGCACAGTCTTTGGGTGCTCCGGGCTGTTTGTTTACCACACATAGGGGGAAAATGCCTCGGCCCCGGAGGCAGTGATCACAGCGATCAACACAGACATCACCGGTCATATAGATGTAGATTGCTTCAACATGACGCAGCGATTCACCAATGCTCAAAAAGAAAGCAATACCACTCCAATTGATGTCTTCCCGAATTATAAGCTCTCGTTTGAGATTTTGCTGATGTAGAGAGCTAAGAAGGGGAGATAGGATCTTATCGCCCTCCTTAGCCACAAGCCAGGGGAGGCGGAGCGCGAATCTTGCCCACGGTCCAGGGGCGGCCTCATCTGGGCCATGGGCCACTGGGGGGACTGAGACAGCCTTATTGCTAGAAATCTTAGCATCAAACTGTAACTATGACAGAAGGGATTGGGATCTCACTCTGGCATCACAGTGGACTTGGTCTAGATCAACAGTGGAGGGGAGGGGCGATGAGAAGAACGGGAGGAGAGAGAAAGAGAAGGGAAGAAGAGCAACGAGAATCCTCTCTCGCACAAGAGTCAGACAAACGAGCCCTGCTTTTAAACAACCTTTGACTCCAACCACGAGGTTACAACATCCGACGAGCGTGAGTAAGTTCCCAAAGACTCATAGTATGATATATTCTGATTTGCAACCTCATGGAATACAACACCTTATGCTAATCTAGAACTTTATTTAAATTACAAACCTTACCATTGCAACTATCATCCACACGAAGGGAGTTGTCGAAAGTCCACTCCCAGTCACGATGTCAACGTTAGACACTACAATCATTTGGGCATGCTCGAGGACAATTGGCGCCAGAAATGAGGCGTCTCACACCGAACAGTTGCTATGGACTGTCAAATGATATGACAAAACATTGTGGTGTATTATCCTGTTTTGCAGTCGGTGGATTATGTACTACCTGTGGATCAAAATGCAAATGCCTTCTTGGCCCTTCCTCAACGGACCAAGATACCCTGCATGTCGCCGTCAGCTCGCCACTTTTCAATAATACCAAGCCAATCTTCGATTCCCGAGCCCCAAATACCCGACCGCGCTAAACCCATCTGTTCGTTGGGTGACACACGATCAATATCACCCTCTAAATTGAAGTATCCCGGCGTGCATCCCATTGCAACTGCCATTGGTGCAGAATGTATTACAAGTTGCATGCCCCAATTCTCTGCTGCCTCCGCGGACGGGGCTACAACGAACTGGGCACCATTGGCCCTACGTTTCGCCTCGGTCAATATATATGAGATGTGCTTCGCGTACTCGTCGAGACCGAACCGATAGTTTCCACTCAATGAGGCCTGCTGGGGCCCGCAGAGAAAAAGATTTGGGAATTTGGCGTCGATGGCACCGTGAAGAGTTGTAGGGCCGAAGCGAGGCCATTCCTCACTCATGGAGACTCCATTCAAGCCTATAATTGACATGTTTGCTTTCTCGGATGGGGTACCAGCGGGAGGCGCCAGGAAACCTGTCGCAAAGATGACTACATCAGCCTGATAAGACTTTTTGCCAATAACCAGCGAGTCTGTTGTCATTCGATCGATGCCCTTGCCGTCTGTATCGATGAGAGTCACGTTGTCTTGGTTGAAGGTCTTGAGGTAGTCGTCGTGGAATAAGGGACGCTTACACCATACGGGATACCAAGGTTTGAGTTTGTCTGCGGTGGCAGGATCCTTCACCTCCTTTTCCACGCGAGCATGGATGCGGCTTTGACGAGGAGCGTCAATCTCAGTCAATCTCGCCGTGTACGCCGGGACTTCTTCGGGTGATTTGGGTCCCTCTGTGTACCCAGTTATACCAACTAAGCCAGGGGCGCGGGTCCATCCATCGTTAACCAGGTTGACTGCTGGCATCTCTCCAAGAGTGAAATGCTGGTGAAAATTCTGCATTCGCTCTCGTTGCCATCCTTTTGATCGTGCAACCTCTTTATGGAACCATTCTTCGTCAGTCTCTCGCTGATCACGAACGTCTACTGAGGCTGGCGTTCGCTGTACGACGTAGAGGTGCTTACACCATTTTGCGAGCTGCGGAACAACTTGCACCGCCGTCGCTCCCGTGCCGATGACCATGACCCTCTTGTCCTTCAACTTGTCAAGCAAAGGATCTTTGGGTGACCCACCAGTGACATCGTATGCCCAACGAGCAGAATGAAACATGTCACCTTGGAAGTCCAAAATGCCCGGGACGTTTGGCAACTTGGGCCAATTGAGGACACCAGCAGCAATAGTGACAAACTTGGAGCGAATCTGGAGAGCCTCTGAAGATTGGCCCTTGCGACGCTGGATTAGACTGACCGACCATTCTTTGGCGTCATCGTCCCAAATAATTTTCTCTGCCTGGGTTTGAAAAACAGCACAGTCTACTAATCCCCATTTCTGCACAACAAGATTGGCATACTCCCGGATCTCTTCGCCTTGCGAATACCGGTGCTTGGGTACGTATCCCGTCTCCTCCAGATATGGGAGATATGTATAGCTCTCAATGTCACACATAAGCCCCGGGTATCGGTTCCAGTACCAGGTGCCACCAAAGCCGCCAGCTGGGTCGATAATGCGAATATCTTTGGCTGGTATACCAGCCTCGACCATGCGGACAGCACACTGTATTCCGCCCCAACCGGCACCGATGATGAGTATTTCGCTTTGCTTCTCGGGAAATCTGGCTTGAAGGGGCTGGATTGATGTCGCTTCAGCCCACGGATCATCTGCAAAACGCTCATACTGAGCTGACTTTGCGATTTCGATGAACTGTGCGTTTCCATCGTCGCGGAGGCGTTTTTTTCTTTCTTCCTCGTACCGGGACTTTATTCGGGCTAGTTGGATGGGATCAATTTGCTCATTGGAAGTGGATAGATTGAGATTGTCTTTTCTTTCAATGCTAGGCATGGTGGCAAACAATGTGTATTGACGACTTACACTCAGATTGAACCCAAGGGGCAATGAATAGGCACAGCATAGAAAGAAACAAAGTCATCGAGACATTGCAATTTCACAGTAGAATCCAGCGACGTCAGCTGACTTCTTTGTTTACCCCGCGGTGACCGGGGGCCAGGTCAGGATTCAAACCCCCTGAGCAAGGGTACGGGCAAATAAGAAAGAGTTGATGTCTGAATACTCTGCTTCTGAATGGTAAAGATGCCTGGTATACTACATACTCACACATGGCGTTGGAATCAAAGTACTTGAATTCTGTTGACTTCTAAAAGCACGAAAGAATGAGGCTTGTGATCACCATACAAATGCCAACATCCCCATACAATCGGGTGGTTACAAGCTCTAGAAAGCGAAACTTCAACTTTTGATTTACAAACATCCAAAGATATTGACGGATTTTGTATTTGTGTAGTCACTAAAGGCTTTAAACACACTGGAAATGATATGGCTTACAATACACACAGTGTATGGCGGTGTTAATGAAGGCTTGCAGACATGGAAGAAACTCTCAAAGCTGGGTTCGAAATTGAAATCATGACACTTATACAGTTGCATAGCGGGCTATAAACAGTAACTTGGGCCCTGAATGGCGGTTGGATAGTATGGGATAAAAATAAAATAAGAAGGAAACTCTGGACAAAAGATACTAGAGCTGATATCAATGACCTACTCCTGCACTCGGTGTTTCCTCCAAGTCAAGAAGACAACATAGAACTCCGAATCTGCGTCAGGTGGCTGAGGACGGTCTGCAAGACCAGTGGTGTTATTTGTGCTTGAAAGGGATTGAGGATCAAATGGCACCAAATTTGGGGCTGCAGGAACCGTTTCCTGCTCCTGGCCAGATTCAGGTCCTGTCTCAGTGTCCAGATCGAAGGGCCTGGCCCGTCTATGCATTTTCAACTCGGCCTCTTTCGCCCCAACCCACGTATACGCACTCTTTGACTTAGGATCAGATATCAAATACAAACCCTTGTCAGCTTGCACGGGAAACTTCCACTCGAGAGCTGATAGTAGGATAGAATCTAGTTGGTCTCTCTTCCGCATAATTGTCTCGAATTCGATCACCAGTTCCTCAAGACAGGGGATTGAGCTGAATCGATTTCCCCATGCTCGAGCTGCGTCATCTGCGGAAACAGCCTCGCCCATCTGGGCTGCGTGGGTCCTCCCGGGACGGAACGGATCGATACCCAGAGGGTCGTTGTTCTCCCAGAACCACCAGTCCGTGTGCCGAAGCGTGATGGTGATCTTCTTCGGTGCGATCCTGCACTCTGGCAAGCCGGGCCCATTGCTGCTTATTATTAGTCCATTCCATATCTGGGACCAATCATTGTCCTCCAGGAAATACTGTTGGGTGAATAAGTGTAGATGTTGCACCTGAGCTCGCTGTTTTGGAGTCATTTTGCGAAAGTAATTGAGCGGTGACGAGGCATCATTGACATGCGGCGGGGATCGATAAAACCAAAAAGTATGCTCATTCACTGCTGGCGGGAGGAGGGATGCCTCGCCGTAGATTTGCTGGCATGTCTGGAGGAGGGCAGTCTGGATGCGCTTAGGCTGCTTGTACCCGGGCCGGTAGTAGAAGTCATTTTGCTGATAGAGAGAGTGAGAATCTTTGTCCGGCAGAACGTCCTCGGACTCAAGCGCAAGCGTGTAAATGCGATTGCGGATCTCAGGGGGGAAAACGGTAAATAGGGGCGATGTCAACGGGGCTGGTGGTAAAGATGGGACCAGGTCCTGGAATGTCTCCCATTCCTTAGTCCGGGTTGTGAACTGTCGAAAGCGACGCGGTCGCATGTTTTGGGGTGAATTTATGGGTTAATAGAGCACGCCTACTGCTTCATGTAGACAGAGGCCAGAGAAATGCCTCGAGATCTTGATTTGGGATTCGCCCCTCTACCCCGCTAACACCCACGCAATCAGTTCGCTTTGGGGAAAAAAAAATACTGGAGAGCCTCGTGAGTCAACGTGTTGTGTTAATAAGTATAGTACAGTGATTAGACAACACTCTGCCCAGAAAGAATTATCTCAAAATTGTTGGACGAGGGCCCTGTCTCATTGTCTACTGGGCCTCAATTGTGACCTATTCCACGGCTTTGAATCAGTTGACCATTTCTTCCTTGCTTTTTGTCTTGTTCGGAACTCACAGCAATGATAAATCAAAAGGCCATCGACTTCAGAATACAATAGTTGGGGCTCATGCAGCTTATGGAAACTACGATGTTACTAGTAACACACGATACACCACAGTGTCCTACCACAAGCCCATAGCGCATATTGGATGGACTTTGGTGTCAACATAAGGTTAATCTCATCCATGGATGCGTCTCTCACATTCCATCAACCATGGACACTCTGGGAGATCGTGTCCGTGGATCTCATTATCTAGAAAACCTTGGGAGTGTTACAGTGACTAGAATCGTGAGCGTCTGTATCGTATCCAGTAAATTGAAATAGGAACCGTGGAACAGTGAAATTTGCATTAAACAACCGTATGTGGATACCCACCCAAATAGACCAAAATCCAAGGTCGTCCCTGCCATATAGATAATCCTCCCATGTTGAACCTCGTCGGTTTTCTTGTTTTACTTCCATAACAAGAAAGTCCCCACGGTAAATTTCGACCCCGCAGTCGTTCACAACTAAATCAATGAGCAATAAAGAAAAAAAGCACCTTCAAACTAGGGACCATGCAAGGTTTCTGGATTCTAAAGACAAGTCGATCGGCAATAAATCAACCTCACCCGCAGGAGCATTGAGTTAAACGATAACGCCATTGGTGCGATTCCATCGACTTGGATCGCCTCAGCCCCGGACGCCTTGCACGAGCAAAAAGCAATGCTGCGTTCCCTTCCACTGCCAATACTTCTTTCTGATGCCTTGAAAGTAATGTGTCATCAATACCAGCTTCCACTATGTGTGATAGCGGCTGCCGCGGAGCACTTTTTCCTTGTACCTTGCGTACACTCCTATGAGCCCCTGGCTTCGGACCAATACATAGTTCACCGTCAATACAATGGGGTATCTAGAGATAAAGCAATTACAAACAGTAGCCACCCGGGTACCCGGGTACCACTACAGCAGATCACACTCCTTCCCACGTAGCGCCCCTCCGCTTAATCACATATCTTACATCAACATGTTTTCTACATACCTCAGAACACTGTTCAAACTCGGCTCGGATAGGAAAGTGTAATGGCAGGGTATCGCACAAGATTTTGTACATCGGGGTCAAAAATCAATATATTCCGGGAACACTTCCATCAAACCTGACTATTATGGACAATTAGATGGAAAGCCCATATATAGCTCAAATTATATAACAACATGTAATCATATCATATGTCATAGCTGTATCAAAATAAACAGGAGGGCGACATGTACATCATCTTTCATCTTTCATGAATCATGAATCAAAAATTGGACCATAGGCTGGAATCCCCTGTGATTCAAACTCGTACACAATACTTTGCGTTACAGCAGGGTTGCTGATCACGAAGACCGCTTCCGCTCTGAATTCCTTGAATTGCCGTCGAATGGTAGGAAGCATGTCGACACGGCCATCGCGACTGGTATCGAAGATAATCGGGTCTGGGCTCATCTTATGAACAAGATCAATGACATCCTGGCCGTATGTCTTCACCGGATCACGTGTCTGCCAGATGACCTTGATTTTCGGTCGGTTTTCGTCGCCGAGGAACCCGAGGCAAGGCCCTATCCCAGATCCAGTGGTCACGATGATAATGCGGTCGAAAACACGAAGGCCGTATCCGACGCCGCGCATCAGCGCCCCACGCTTCCAGAGGTGGGTTGGCGGTTCACGGATGGTATCGGCCGTCCAATCACCTGCTTTTGACACGACAATAGACCAACTCCTCTTATGCCCGTGGCCTTTGACAAACGGCTTCTTGCCCGGCGTGTTCTTGTCAGATGGGACCTCAGCAACAGGAATCGGGTCTGGAAAGCCAGCAAAACTGTGCCAATCGCGTAAAGGATGCTTGGAGACTTGGACGCCCTTTGCGAAGCTGATTTGGGTGAAGTCAAAGGACAGTCGCACAGCATGCGTAGACAGGGGCTCAGCCTGTACAGGAACCCTGCGCAAAAGTAGCCATGGATGGACTATGGCTACGATAGCTGCTATCAAGAGCCAAAATGCAGGAAGAGTAATGAGGAAGTGGCCAAGACTTTCTTCCGCTGCCCTACTCGATTCATGCGCAAATATCATGACCAAGGCCACGAAGAGGGCCAGAATCAGCCATGAGGTAAATCGATGAGTGAGCTCAAAGTAATCATGCATTCTTCTGCGGAAAGTTGGGTATGCAACGATGACCATCACAAAGAGTAGCACAAGAGTAAAGTAGGCGACAACTATTGGCGCGGCTGAGAAACAGGCATCTGTTGCTGTACTGATAGGAATGTTTTGCCAATACATTTGCGACAGCACGGAAACAAATCCAATATACCACACCAAAGATGCGGTTCCACAACCACTGTGAACACCACCGTAGTGAGCAGCCTTGGCAGCCCTGCGACGCAAGGACAGCGGTGCACTTCGGGGAATTGAGCACACGGCTCGATAGATGGCATTTACCATCATCGGGTGTCGAGCAAGACCGCAAGCCAGCAAATTCACGGCTGTTGCATCAACGAGTGAGAGAAGCTTCCGATCAGAGATCACCACGTAGAGGAACAGAGCGAGATTCACGCAAAATACGAAAGTGAACAGCCGTCGATAAACGGTAAACACGGAATATCTGAAGTGCGCGAACCGCTTCCGTCGGGGCTCTGTCGGTTGAGCCTCCAGATCAGTCAAATCGGGGAGTTGCAGCCAGTGGAGTAGACCTCCTTGGAGAACTCTTTGGGGACCTCTTTGGCGACCTCATCGGAAGAGTAATTGTCAACGACATTATCATGATTGGCGACAACAGCTCTGGCCGGGAGCTCTGGTATGGACAGGTCGTTCTTCTCGGGGTCCGCCATGGCTGGAAATAAAAAGACAGAAGGGTAAGGAAAGAGCAAGGAGATTGGACATAAAATTAGGGTCTTTTAATTCATTTTGGTTTTATAGTTTTCCCGAGACCAAAATATACCAAAAGACGCCTTGCACCTTTTAGTGCAAGTGAGCATTTTCGGAAAACCACGAAATAGCAAAGTCATACACTTCCGTTCCCGGCTTTGCAAAGGAAGCAATGGGTCCATATGAAGGCTCCACTGTGTGGAGATACCCTATGCACGGGCGAACAAAATTACGCAGCAAGCTGATAGTGGCTCTTGCTTGGAGAAACGAGGTCCAGCCCAAGCTCAAGAATTTACCCCTCAGTCTGTAGATCTTTCGTCTTTTGGTTGGTCAATTCGAAATTTGACGCAATATGGAGTACCTCGGTCGATGTAACTGGACCTACGCCGGCATCGGTAGCCCCCCGATACCACCCGGAAAAAGATAGTTAATATGAATAATCCATGTCAACTTCCAGCTAGAGGAACAGGCCCTAGACCAAGGATATGCGAGACCAGGGAGAAGCAAAGGCAACAATTGAAGAATCGGGATGGCCGGCGGAACCCGTAAAAGCGGGCTAGGCGGGGCTTATCGCCTTGCTTCACAAGTGGCATGCATATGTTGTAGTGGTTATGCATACATACCATGCCATCCCTGCGGCAGCAGAAGCAAGTAGCAAAAATGGGTTAACAGGGCAACGTGTACTCCGTACTCCCCGTCCGGATTCCACGTTCCTTGCTATCATTCCGGAGGGTTCGAGAGTGCAGACCAGAGTTCCCCACCCCAACCCGCTCGACAGACTCAAAACTCGGTCTTTCTGTTGATCAACACGATCGAGAAGTGTCGATCCAGTTCCTGATATGTGAGACTATGGACTGTCAATAGTGGAGCGTGGAGCCATAACCCGTGGACGAGGCTGTTCATCGCGCTTGGTCCCTTAATCTCTATGTTACAATGGCGCTTCTCGCAGTTCATCCAATGCACGATCCTGCAATCTGCACGGCGGGGCTATCCGCCATGCAATATGCGAAGTGCAAGGTAAACGGTCGGGTTATCATGTGAGTTTGAAGAGACTCGGGACCCACTCGCGGCACGGGCTCCCAGACACGGCAAGTCTTGGCAATTTAATACGCTTCGTAAGTTTCATACGGGGAACGAAGTATTGTAAGTAAAAAACAAATATACGGAACTATTGAAACTAGCCAAAAAAAAAAAATCGCTAAAAAGCAAGATAAAAACATGATATACAAGGTCTTCATATAATTCATACTCAGAACGGGAGACAGATGATAAGAGCTATCTTCAGCTCGGCACTGAGACAAATGTACTAGTGGAAGCAATTTTCCTCGCTAATGCCTTGGTTGGTTGCGAGCCAAGAAATTCGAAAGAGGATAATTCTGACCCCAATTCGCGAGAGACCCAGTTTTGAACGGCGGTAGCTTTGAGGGAATCAACTAGAGCCTGGTGTTAGCCAACTGAAAGATCACAGTGGAGAGGACATTATCAAAGAAAAAAAAACGTACCACCCAACGCAGACAATGGTAAATCTGAGTCGATAGCATCAGCGGTTGTAGCCATTGCATCTGCTAGATATTCACTCAGAGTGTTGAGAACAACTTCAGTTGCAGTGTCGAGGGAATCAGCTTCCTTAAGTAAGGTACTGGTCTGAATGGAATCCTGAGCATCCTCAACAGCGAGACAAAGCCGGTGATCAAACTTTCGATCGAGGACCCAGGGCGTAGAGCCATTGTTGCGAGACAGAGAGTCGGTCATGCCAGCAATGATCTGAGATGGAAGAGATAGCTTGCTGTTAATAATCACTCTAAGCAAGGTCTGGAGCTCATGGGTCATGATTTCTGTGCCTTCAAGATGTTTGTATCGGCGGCGGCGTTGCTCTGGATCTTCGGAAATGTCACTGAGTCCACTGGCATCTGGAACAAGACCGATGTTGATCGAATGACCTGGAAGACCGTGACTATGTCGCCATTCCATGAGAGCATCAATGTAACCGTTGCCGGCAGAATAGTTAGCCTGTCCCATATTACCAATGACACTTGCGACAGAAGACAATGCGACGAAGAAAGCCAGGCTTTCCTTCTCCGAAAACAGATGGTGTAAGTTCAGCGTTCCCCGGATCTTGGACTGCGTTGATTGTGTCCAATCATCAAAAGTCATCTTCTCAAACATTGCATCCTAAAGATAAAGCAAGGATTTAGCTGGTGCTAATGGAAAGTGAAAAACGAGAGGAATCACCTTAAGAACGGTTGTACACTGAATCACGCCTGCGACTGTCCAGTTGTTACTGCAAATCTCGTCTGACAGGTTTTCAATATCTGCCTGTTGTGAGATATCACAGCGTAGTACATCTATGCGGCACCCACGATCGCGGAGAAGATCAAGCGCCAGCTGTTGAGTGGGCTGGGTCCCACCAGATCGTCCAAGGAAGACCAGATGGCGGGCTCCAGACTGGACTAATGTATCAGCAAGCGCAAGGCCTAAATTGCCCAAACCACCTGCTAATATATATGTGTCTTCCGCTGGCAAGCTAGCAAGGTCCGGTAGTGGCTGTACAATGGGGACCATTCCAGGAGCCTGAAGGTCGATGATAGCTCTGGTGTTTGTCACTCTGCAGTGTTTCAAAGCCTCTTGGAGGTCAGAGATAGGGAATGTGGAATAGGGTTCCACGCGGTCCAACATCCGATGCTGCTTCATGAAGTTAATCACATGCCGAACGGAAGCATGAAGGATGCCAGGCTTCTCTGAGAAAATGTTCTGCAATCGCGGCGAAGAGAATGTGCAGCCACTGTCGATGAAGCTTTCTGGAAGCGCACTCAGCTTCATATCTGCAGACAGATTGATGTATTGTCCACCAGGGACCAGACATCTCGCAGCATTTCGAGCAGAATACCCGCCAAGGAAGGAAATGCTGGCGTCAACTCCACACCCATTCGTCAACCTAGACACACTCGTCTCCAGGCTACCATGGACGCCCAGAATCCGGTTCGTCAACAACGGATACCGAGCAAGAAGAGCCTCGGTGCTATCTAGAGAATCAGTTGCTACGATGACTTGCATGTTCATGGCAAGGGCATAATCTATCATGGCCTGGAAAGTTTGATTGATTGACCCAATCAAAAGAATCGAGGAGCTTGAGCTGAGGCGACCAACTTGGGTGAGAATCTGATAAGCGTTGAGGTATGCGAGAGGAATTGATATCGCCTTTCTCGGGTCGGTGTTCGAAGGAATTCTGATGATGTCGCTTTCCAAGACCCGCATTGTTGTCGAGAGTCCCGAGTCCGCCGATGCTAACGTCAAGACTTTGTCGCCAACAGCCGAGTCGTGCACACCAGATCCAATACGAGTAACCTTTCCAACAATTTCGAACATTGGAAGAGCTGTCTCTGGTGTTTTCCCCCGATCCCCGTGTAAATCAAAGATTGTGGCCATTTCAACCTTGATCTCCGTGTAGTCTGACCGAAGTTGTTCTTCGTTGAGCTTTTGTTCCTCCCAGCGTGCATTGTCTGCATCCTGGAACTTTAACTCCAGGGGTCTCGAGTCAAGTGTGAGATCTGAAATTACGGGTCTGGGGCCATTCACCAGAGTATGCATGGCCTCGACAACCGCTGGGGTCTCGAGAACCCGTGGAACCAATAGCCGACCGTTTGACAGACGATACTCCAAGTCTGGACGACGTGAGTCCTCACGTGTGGTGAGCTGCATGACTTGAAGAATGCTACAAGCTAGCCTAAGGCTGTCTGCTGAATCCTTTACATCCACCAATAAGTGTGGGATAGTCGTGTTCCACTGTTCATTGCGAAGTGTTCGCAAAAGGCCGCCAGTTGCACCGGATCCAATATTATCAGCAGCGCCTTGGGTCCAGAAAGGTGACACCCAAAGAACGTATTGAGCTTGGATTAGCTCTCGGAGATGTTTCAGATCGTTTTCAGTCCAACCGAATACCCAGGGATTTGCCAAGTCAAGCAGCGAAATAACAGTCTTTCCTGCTAGTGCAGATACCTGGTCCAATCCAATAGGCACCAGGCACACGTTTTGTGTGGCAAATGCTTTCTCCAGGTGATCAAACATAGGGGAAGCGATGGAGTTATCTGCTGGACTCAAAACGTATATTTCAGAGGCTGTTTTCCATGGGACTGGTGTCCTGCGTGCGATAATGAACTCGCGGTCTTGAGTCGTACTGTAAAGTTCGAGGCTCTCAAAGCTCTGAATTATCTCCGATGCTGAGTCTAGATTGGCATCGGACGCCCGCAATGCTGCCAAACCTCCGTGTTCAAGGATAGTGAGCAGGCAAGACAGGATCACCTGAGTATTTGAATCATCCCACAAGCTGGGCTCATCGATCACGACTAAATCATATTTGTCCTGAGTGAGAGATGCGGATGGGAGTTCATCGAGCGCAGCGAGAGACGTAAGGTAGATTCCCGGGGGGCTAGTCTCTGCGGGACTGATGGCCTCCGTCTCGTCATCGAGGCCACATGAAGCGATAGTGACCTTTGCCAGGCACGTTCGCTTTCCGGGACTTGGCATAAACTCTCGGAGGTTTTCGATCCAAGAGTTTGACGTTACCGAAGTAGTGATGAGCGCTCTGGCATCCCCGTTTGTATGACATAGTCTCTTGATCCAGTCAAGTAGCTGGAGACTTTCGGATTGCTCGGCCATCTTGTTTCCATTATGGTTTCCGTTCGTGACAAGCGGCGACTCCAAGTGCTCATCCCAGACAATCGATGAATATCGGCTCTCTGATGCGCCTTCCTCCTGCTTTTGAGAGTTGGGGTTGAAGGGAAGGCGACCAAGGTGAACACCTTCAAACGTGATCCAGGGCTGTGACCAGGAGGGGTCCGATGCGATACACTGAGATCGTGATTTTCCATCTCGCCACTTCGTCTCTGTGTGGACGACAAATTCCTCGCCTGACTGAGGTTGGAATTTATTGGAAATGTAAATATTGTCCACCCCGACAGGAATATTTGCGTCGGTGCTGGAGAGTGCATCTGAGCAAGACAAAAGGGCAGATTGGAAGAGGCAATCAAGGGTGGTGGGATGGATGAAACTAGGTGACTCCGTTTCGAACGGCATTGATTGTTTTGTGTCTGTAACCACCCCAGATAGCCAGATACAAGGCTCTGAGTTGCAGAAGTTGACTCCAGTGATAGTCTGAAATGCCGGGCCTACGGTGAGTCCTCCTGTTTGAGACAGCCATTCACGCGCTTTCGTGACATCAGCCAGTTCTGCGACTGTTTGGGTATTCTTGATGCGCTCCAATGCTGCTTCCCAGTTTGACTTGTGTTCATAGTTGTCCTGGTCTTCATATCGTGTGATGAATGCACCCTTTGCGTGTTGAATCCAGCCTCCCCCGGACGGAAGTGAGAAAATTCCGAATTGGGACCAGCCGGGCAACCCTGGATGGGGCGATACTTGAAGGAGAGTCTCCAAGCCTCGTTCATCATCTGGAATAACCACTCCTCGCATGAAATGAAGGTCCTGGAATTCTATCCCTTTGATGTTGGCCTGGTCATCAGCTAGTTGCCGCGCTGCCTCGGTAGCCATCACCAGCATACCTGCGGCTGGGAATACAATCGATCCGGCAACAACATGGTCGGCCATCCATGGATTCTCTGAGAGTCGCAAGAAGTTTCTCCACCGTGGCTCCAAAGCATTTTGATAATCCAGCGCAGCTCCCAAAATATCATGACGGGGATGCTTGCGCTGTCTCAATTGCGCTGTCTCTAAAGGCTCATGCCAGAAGGACGTTTGGTGATTCCAGGGATATGACGGCAGATCAGCAACTATTGTTGGGTTTGTGGTATCGACACAACTGTTGACCGCAGCAAGATCTACTGTATGTCCTGTGCTCCAAAGAGACCCAGCAACTTCCAACGCTGTTTGCAATGCATGCTTGTTCCGCGAAACCAGTGAATAGTAAGGTAAAGCTGCCATATTGGCGTTGACAGATTGCAGAATCTGTGTAACGGGTCCTTTCAAAACGGCATGTGGGCCGATTTCAACCAATGCAGTCCATTTGATTGGAACCGGTCGTCGGCGAGACTTGACAGACTCGCTCAGGTTTGCGAGCTGTGACACTGCAGCAGTAAACTCTACGGAACTGACCATGTTGCGCACCCAGTATGATCCACCAAGCTCGGCGGGATAGACACGCTCTTTGGTGACGGATGAAAGCATTGGGATTGAGCCATTGTATCGATCTTCTGGCTTGATACAATTGATAGCATCGCCTACCACTCCAACAAGTTCTTCCATGTGAGGTGAGTGATATGCCGTATCGATGCGCAGCTTTCTCGCGAAGTGACCATCTTGTTGAAGCCTTGCTTCTAGCTGATCAATGAAGTCCACATCTCCTGAAAGAGTTGTACTGGCCGGACTATTTACACAGGCAACCACGACTGAACGCTGGGGCAGCTCGTCAAGGTATTTCTGTGTCTCTGCGGCGGATATACCAGTAGCAAGCATACCCCCTCGTTTGTCGCTCTGGGCGATCTGTTGTGAAAAGAAACCGCGGAACCATGCGACTCGCATAGCATCTTCATGAGAAAGATAACCGGCAGCATACCCGGCGGCTGCAATACAGTCAAGTTAGCTGCTATATTCCTGGAGATAATTGTTACAAGAGAGGATTGTGGGAGATGTCCATACCGATTTCACCGCTAGAGTGGCCAACAACTGCGGTAGGATGAACAGCCCAACTGGCTAAAAGATCAACCAGTGCAATCTGCAAGGCACATGTAACAGGCTGGCTGCGATCGGGTCGGTTGATCTGACTTTTCTTTGCCTCTGCACTTATCTCGTCGACCACATTAAAAGGACATCCGAGGGACGAAAGAATATCTTGTGATCTGGAGATGCTTTCCCTGAAAGTCGAGATCTTCAGAAGTTCCCGGCCCATTCCAGCCCACTGGCCACCCTGACCTGTGAACACAAAGGCAAGTTTTGTTTGAGCTTTGCGACTAGCCCGAGAAAACTTGGGAAGTCCTTTCTCCAAGATTCCCTGCAACTGGTCTTGTGAGTCAGCAACAGCGAAGCTGCGGAATCCCAAATGTGATCGGCGTGTCAGCATTGTATGAGCCAGATCTTTTAATGGGATATTTTGCTTGGCCTCTTGCTGTTGCTGAAGGAATGTGCTCCAATTTTGACCAGTCCGTTCAATGCCGGCTTGGTCAAACGTAGAGAATACCACCACACGAGGTGTTGGCTCGCTTTCCCCGCCATTTCTCTGGAATGATTCTTTGATGCCTTCGACAATTAGGTGCGCGTTTGATCCACCAAATCCAAATGAGTTGATACTAGCTCGCCGTGGAAGATGCTCCGGCCAGGGCATTGTTTTGTCACTCATGCGTAAACGCCAATCATCGAGCCGGATCTTGGGATTTATATTTTTGAAGCCGGCGTTCGGCACTAACATACCCTTTTCCAAACACAACACGACTTTAATTAAGCTGGCAACTCCTGCGGCTCCTTCAGTGTGACCAAGGTTTGTCTTCACTGAGCCTACATATAATGGCTCATCAATCGCTGTTCGTGCCTGCCCCAAAGTCATTCCGACGGCAGACAGCTCCAAAGGATCCTGTTTGTTGCCAAGTGTTAATAAGCTGAATGTTGAGTAGTGATCAATGGGGATCTTCTTCTTACCCCTGCTGGAGTTCCAGTTCCATGGGCTTCAAAGTAGGCAGTATCTCTCATGGAGATACCATGGCGTTCATAAACCGAGCGAATCAAGTTGGCTTGGGACGTTGGGCTGGGTAGTGTAATTCCCGGTGTACGACCATCTTGATTGATTCCTGTGCCGCGAATGACGGCTCGAATATTATCCCCATCAGCTAATGCTGCGCTGAGGGGTTTCAAAAGCACGGCACCAATACCCTCTCCTCGGCCATATCCATTCGCAGACTCATCAAATGAATGACTTATCCCATCCGGACTCATCATGTGCATGTAGGAAAGTCTCTGTGTAAAATTAGGGTGCAAAATAAGACTGGCTCCAGTTACCAGGGCCTGTTATAATCATGTTTAGTCTTTGCTTGAAACATGCGTATGCAAAGTACAGCACTTACCATTCCACATTCTCCAGATCGCAAGGATTGAGCTGCTAAATGGACCGCGGTCAAACTAGAGGAGCACGCAGTGTCCATCATAATACTCGGGCCTTGGAGATCGAAGAACCACGACAAGCGGTTTGCCAGCATAGTCCTTCCATTACCGGTAGCTGAGTTGTGAGGCATATCGTAAATGTCTCTTGTTGATAGAAGCTCATAATCATTGGTCATTGAGCCGGAATACACTGCTGTGTTGCTCCCTGGCAGTGTATCTATTGGTATTCCGCCTATTTTGGCCATTTTAGCTCAACCAGTCCCACATCAATGTTTCAGATCTCCGATCTTACTGTTTTCGAAAGTCTCATAAGCGACTTCGAGCAGCAAACGCTGTGCTGGGTCCATGCCCTCCGCTTCTTTAGCTGTGATAGAGAAAAAAGGAGCATCAAATCGTGAGGGATCTTCCTGTAAGAAAAAACCACTATCATGATTGATCTAATCATCCACATCCTCGATGTCAGAAGAATAAACCAGCATCTAATTGAGGTGTTCTTACCGCTCCTTTGCGTTCATGGCTGGGGTGATGCCATCCCGAAGCTTCATATCGGCTTGCGGGAACCGTCCCATGCCCAGTGCGTCCGTCGCATAGCATCTGCCAAAAGTTTTCAACAGAGTTCGCACCTCCAGAGAAGCGACACCCCATTCCAATTACTGCGATTCCCTCCATATCTGCAGTAGCAGAAGTCGTCGTTGGTCGGCCAGGCATATTGTGGGTATAGAAAGACTGCGGACAGAATGGGACAAGATTCAGATAGGAATGCTGCGGGGTATTATACTCAATGAAATGCAAGTCTCCGTCGTGATAGCAGACCATAAATCTGGCCCTAAATCCTGGAGGCTAGTGCGGTTAATGCGTGCAATCTCGCATATTCACATGCATATATTACTGGCTATCTAAGCCATCGAAGCGGAACATGTAGTGGAGACTTAAGCCCATTAAAAAGCGCTATTGACGATGTACGGAGTACTTTATGAATTATGGTATGTACATCTTTTGGTGCATAGCTTGGCAATCTCCTGTTTCTGGACCTAGAAATGAATGTCTAGGATGTTGATCTAATGCAGTTGGGTATGTTTCTCCCTACACGTTCAGCTCTGATGACACTCAACACGGTTTGCTTTGAGTTTGCGTACAGCTAGCTCTTGAGGCAAAGCTTGGAAAAATTCTGTCCAGTGGAGGCTGTTTACTCCATAGATCAACGAACTGGATCGTCAATGCTTCAAAATAGAAATGTGAATTGTACTGTGACAGAGAATTACCAGTCTCGGTCACTGTATTTCAAGCCAACTTTTCCACTGAGCCTAGAAGCTCCACTAAAATGGTCAAACTAAGCCAATGTCAGGAGCCGACCATTGCCTATCAGAATTTCTTTTGAATTTCTTCTTTGGGATTTCCATGCCGTAGTGGAGATTCCACTTTCCTTTCTCAGCCCCCCCTTTTGACGAGATCCACTTTTCGGATTCCCAGTCTTCCTTGCATGGATGTATTTTAGAGAATATCATGGGCTAGGGTATACTCCATACTCCGTACTTGAGCTGTTATCATTGTCTTATAATCTCGGAGAGATCTGGCTGTGGTAATTGGATGTCGCTCGGGCCACCGCATCTCAGTTCCATGAGATCTTTCGATGGGCACAGTTTACAATACAATAGTGATTGACTTTATTGAAAGTACTAATTGCCCCTCCACGCAGATCATTGACAATGTACTCCGTATGTGGAGTATATTTTTGTATTTCGATGATCTTGGAAGCTTTACGGAATATGGAGTGAGCAATAGTCTACGCTACTTAGCCAGAGACCAAAAAATTGTACTTTTGATCAGCTCTTCAATAGTTCCATCTCGCCGTGAATCTAAATCCTTGCAAGCCACATGCGGACAATCCATATGGGGCAATCTTATACGTCGCCTTCACAGCCTCTAATTTACCATTTGAGCGATTTATCCAAAGACAACGTGCTATACCCCGCCTCTCTTGCACCCTTCATTTCCCTCCACGTTGTGGTCTCTGTTGAGAATGGCCACTCAGAACGCCATTATCGTCCAAGAACCCGGCCGCGCGACCTTGTTAGAAGATGTCCCACTCCCTGAGCTGCCGGACAATTACATCCTCGTCAAAACAAAAGCCGGTATTTTTTTCGTCCTTGTCTCCTTCGCTCCAATGTCTCATGGGCAGCCGGACTAACACCGTACGAAGTCGCGCTCAATCCAACGGACTGGCGTCATATAGATTTTGTACCCTGTACCGGAGCCACCGTGGGCTGCGATTATTCCGGAATAGTAGAAGCCGTTGGCCCGGGCGTGAAGAAGGCTTTCAAAAAGGGCGATCGGGTTGCTGGGTTTGTACATGGTAGCAATGCCGTTCGACACAATGGCGGCGCGTTTGCTCAGTATGTGATTGCGAAGGGTGACATCCAAATGTTGATCCCCGAGTCCATGAGTTTCGAGGCAGCAGCCACTTTCGGTGTAGGTTTGACAACCGTTGGTCAAAATCTTTACCAAAGCATGGAATTGCCTTTTCCTGGCGAACAGGAGAGCGATTCAGACGATACAAATATCCTAATCTATGGAGGCGCAACGGCTACCGGTACGCTTGCGATTCAATTGGCAAAATTATCGGGATTACGAGTCGTCACGACATGCTCTGAAGCCAACCGCGGCCTGATGCTTGAGCTTGGGGCAGATGCTGTTTTTGATTACCATGATCCACTGGTGGGTGAGCAGATCCGAGAGGATACTGATGATGCTCTGGAATTTGTTCTTGATACGATTTCCACACCTCAATCGGCTGCTATCTGCGGTGCCGCCATTTCATCGGCGGGAGGTTCCTACAATGCTCTGTTGGATGTTCCATGTCCGAGAGATGATGTTGATTCACATGTCTCAATGGCGTATGATATTATGGGAGAGCCTTACCGCATGGGAGCACACGAGATTTCTCCTGATAGCACTAACTTTGAATTCGGCATCCAATGGTGGAACTTGGCGGAGAGACTACTTGAAGAGCGTCGCATTCACCCTCATCCATATCAGGTGAAGCCAGGCGGCTTGGCTGGAGCGTTGGCCGGTCTCCAGATCTTACGGGAAGGCAAAGTCCGAGCTTCCAAACTAGTCTATCGGGTCGATCAATCCGAATAATATATCAAAAATATGATAAACGTGTTCTCGACTTCCTATGTTCAAGCAGACATGAGAGTATGACTTGACCTCGGGACTGTAGGTGTACTTAGCCACTCGAAGGACAGAGATAGAGAGATAAAGAGGACAAATGGCATTCCAAGATAGAAAAGTTGATTCGCACCGCCATTTTCTGCCGTCTTGGCAGGCCCCACTGAAATTAGGGGGTTTCCATGGTTGGCATCCCACTTTGCAAGTTCAATATCATGGAAATGATTCCTCGTCGGATAGCACTGAAGCCATATGCGGCCGAGTTTCTCGGTACTGCCCTTCTGATTGTCATTGGAGATGGGGTCGTCGCACAATGTCTGCTGTCTGAGTACCAATACGGCACCTGGCTCTCAATCAATATCGCCTGGGCCTCTGCTGTGTGTCTCTCTGGCTATCTAGCTGATCCCAGCCCGTCCATCAACCCGGCCGTAACTATTTGCACGGCTCTTGTGCGTCCATCTGAGGGACAATGGAAGAAGCTCCCAGGCAAGCTAGTCGCTCAGTTCCTCGGCGGGTTTGTCGGCGCTGCTATCGTATACATCAACTACCGATCGGCGATCAAAGCTTGGGATCCCGAATACACCATTCCTGGAGGATCAATCCTGAGCCCGGTCGGCCACCATTCAGCGGGCATATTCTCGACCTACCCAGGTGCCTACTTTGAGTCGAATTGGGAGGCTGTATTTTCCGAGGTACTGGGCTCAGCTGTGTTGATGTTTGGCTGCCTCAGCATCTCCGATCCAGCCAATGCCCGTCGATACCCTGCTCCACAGATCGCTGTCTTTTTGCTGCTGCTTATGATCGGAGCTGCTTTGGGCTGGCAGACTGGCTATGTATGTTCACCAACTTCTCAGGACATGAAGCCTTGCTAATTAATGACACTAGGCTCTTAACCCAGCTAGAGACTTTGGCCCGAGACTGTTCTCGGCTATCATCTACGGCCGAGAGGTCTTTACAGCGGCCAACTACTACTTTGTTGTTCCCCTCTTCGCCCCTATCATCGGCTGTGTGATAGGTGCGGCGACTTACGACGGTTTGCTTTTCGAGGGTGAAGGATCGCGCATTGCCGATGCGATCGGAAAGGTTGAGGCTTATGATTATCATCGCCTGGAGTGATATCTTAGCCTTGACGAGTCGATGGTAGATTTCCTAGTATGGTGTCAATCATATGTAAACTATCGTCAGTGGACATATATATATATATATATATATTAGGGGAGGTTAAGTGATAGCGCGGAGACAAGACTCAAGACTGAAATTTAGATTTTACACTTTTGTTTTCACCTCAGTCGTACAAAATTATTATTGCATCAGTTCAATCTCGTGAATTCATGCAACCTGAAGGGTAGTGTGGTGAGAGACTGAGAGAGAGTAAGGTTTCCCCTCGGTCGGCAGTGAAATACACTAAGGCGCTGGATGCTGAACTCAAGCGCAAATCCAAATTGAAAAGAAAATTCTCAGGAACCCAGATTAGACCATCCGAAAGGCGAGAAAGGTGTTTTACATGTAGAACATAGATAGTAAGCTCGTGAGATAGTGTTCAAATTCGTGGAGTTGGTGAGAATTATTATTAGAATTACGGAGTACCTTGTGCACCAACACGCGCTAGTGCGATTAGCTGCGGACTGTCTCATCCCTTGTGGCCGTCCAATAGGCTTCAAAGCTCACACCGTCTTGGCAGCGATGTCGACCAGAATCGCGAAACGCAAGCGTGCGAGGAAGGCATGCATCCCCTGCCATCAGCGTAAGCGGAAATGCGACACCGAATATCCGTGTGGCACATGCACCACCTACGAATACAACTGTAGGTACGTCGACGACGACACCACTGGTATTGCGGGTGGCGACCTACACGCACTGCTCCAAGGTGAGCGCGTCGGCGTCGAGGGCGGCAGTAGTACGGCAAACCGTGCTGCCGCCGCTGCTACATCGGACAGTCCAGACAGCTGGTCTCATATAGCGCAAGGTTCTCGCGGAGCTGATGGCTCGACCACGAGGAGTCCCAATGCTGTGGCCGGCGCGTCCACGGTCACCACCACGGCCACTGGTATCTTCGACGAGCAGAAGTCAAGATATGCCGGGGCATCGGCCGCCATGGCATTCCCGCACATCCTGAGCGTAGCTCTCGGCTCTGACACCCCTCCCGAAATGCACTCGTTTGCTTACAACTTTGGCATCCGCCCCGAGGAGGCTTCTAACGCCCATGGCTTGCTGGGGAAGCTCATCTCGGAGGAAGACCTCGCCTTATTCTCGGGTGTATTCTTCTCAGTGATGGCCCCTATTGCAGACTATTTAGACCCGAAAGTCTACGCCCAGCGATGTCGTGATTATTACCATGGCTCCGGTAGCAATATAGTCGCTTTTGGCGCAGTTGCCGCTGGTGCCGCTGCTCTTGGGTCGTTCCTATCCCCCAACAAACACCCACGGGAGTCTGACCTGGTGCAATATGCCAAATCCATTCTCGATGATCCGGTCTCTTTGCGCCTGCTGGGCATCGACCATATCATCGCGTGGGCCCTGCGAGTGTTCTACCTACGGGCCACAACCCGCCCTGATACTGCCTGGGTCGCGTCGTGCACCGCCATGCACCTCTGCGAAGCGGTTGGATTGCATGATGAAGAGAACATCAAGAAGATGGCCTCCGTTGCTGGACATGATGCGGACCGACTGAGGCGAATTTTCTGGATCTCATGGGCCGGGCATAACCTGCTATCTTATGAGTACGATCGTTCCTCTGTGCGATTTGGGACCGTAACTTGCCAGGCTATTCTTCCGATGTCAGGATCCGTTGCAGACCAATTCGTACAAATAGCCCAAATTATTCCGGCGCCCAACTCGCCGTTTCAGCTCGGATGTCAGCCTCCGACACCGCAGGAGGAGGTATTCGAGCGTCTCAGGGCATTGGATAAACTCCAATCTAGCCATCCTTTCCTGGTAGTAACAAAAGCGGACATCGCATTTTGCTTTTATCGGCGCATTTACCACCTCAGGATCGGTATATCGGACGAGATTGTTAAGCTCCTCATCCATAGCGGCAACGCCGCAGTGGAGGCGGCGGAGCAGCTAGCTAATCAGGGCCTTCTGTTCTGGAACGCCATCGGTAGCGTCTTCCAGTATGCCTGCATTCTGTTGGCCATCGACACGCCGGCAGCCTCCCCACACATCGCTACTGCCTTCAAGGGCTTGGAAAACCTGGTCAAAACTGCTGACACAGGACTGACACGCAAAGCATTATCGATGGCGCGACAACTACTCGCTCTCAGTATGGCAAAGAAGCGAAAGGAGCTTGCCCAATTAGAGGCTGTCGAGGCGAGCTATCAATCCTTACAGGCTCAGCCGGAGTCCGAGGTCAACCTCACCATGCCAGAGATGGGCTGGGGGGAGAATTGGGACCAGTTCTTCATTGAACCATATATATCGATGCTCGGGCCTGACATTCATTTGTATTAGCGCATGGTTATTTCACAATGATTGACTCCACTCAGCGGATATTCAACATGCAATTCACCCAAACATGGTGCGACATCCTAAGATAGTCTAATGAAGCTCAGCCTTGTATGTATGTAAACCGGACATGGGTAAGATCTAAGTATACTCTTCGCCATTTGCTCAGATATCTTAGACCGCAATGAAGATGAGTATCAGGGTGCCAACGGTGAGGGATTGTCCTGTGGATTCTACCTTAACTTCCCGGGCTCTTTCTTGATATTGAAGAATTGGGCAATAGGGTGCTAGGGGATCAATCTTCAGGACGGTACCGGACCAAGTGAGGAGCCGGGAGAGTTTCGTCGTGGATCTGGTTGTGATTGAAGTTATGATGGTCAGCATGGACCTTGATCCGCTAGTGTGATAAAAGCGTTGTCGATAATGGGCACCATGGGCTAGCTAGCTCTGGGAGTCGCGATGTAGTATATGTAAACATTTGCTTCAAGAGGGATTTTCATCCTCATCCTAACGTCGCGGAGGCATGCTTGGAGCTCACTTGGTCTGTAGTCGAATCATCACTGCTATGGTGTTCTTGTTCTTATGCGGCTTAGTGCGGTGCGGCTTCTACGGCTATTGCGGAGCTAGCTAGTCACCGCTATCAGACGGTGTCAGTCTTAGTGTCGAAGCCTTCGCACTAGACCCCTGCGTGCGGCTGCTGCGCCCGCAACGCCACCAAAAGGCGATGTGAGAAATTGGCTGGCGCAAGCTCAAGTTGGTAAAATGGCCAGTTTTGACAAGCTGCTGTACGCCAAGGGGTTTTTTTCCATCCGAGTGAACCAGAGGGTTCTCCGCCAAGGCGCAAAATGAGCTGCTTAAATTGTCGGAGGGGAGGCTCGATGAATCTATAAGGCTGGGATTGATTTAGTCACGGTCCTGCAGCGTCGCCTTGAGCGGATGGCGTCCTGGAAGGCAGCATTTATAGGATTTGGATTGATCAGTCATGGGTGATTTACACGGCAATTACATTGGGTTTCAAAATCCGCTATAGCTCCATACTTTTGTCATTTTGATGGTTATATTGCTAGTTTCTTCCTATTCTGTCAGCTCCAGCACAGGCACCATCACATTTGACAATGACCGTTCAAAGATTTGCACTGATCGGCCCAAACAGAGCTTGTCAGCCCCAAGCAAGCTTAGAAATTTTAAATTGGTTGATTTTTATAGTATTTGCTGTATACAGGGCTGTTCGACTGCCCTAAATAAATGGAACCAGGTTCCCAGGGGTGGAAGGTATTGAAGCACTACTGAAGAAGGTTATTCCCCAGAGTAAGCTCCCAACCAAGGTCGGATTAGGAGAAGCGGACAAACGTAGCGTAAATTTGACCTATAGCGTTAAACACCACAATTTGGCCTTCACGGACATATGAGCAGCAACATATTTGTCTCCATAGTCCCCGTGAAGGGAAGATAATGTCAATCCCATTGTCCGTAGTGTGAATCTGCTATTTTCTGTTATACCATTTCATAACATGTATGTATATCTTTTCGGGGAATTTGTCCAAGAGCTCGGGGAGACCCGGGGACTAATCGAGTGGGTCCAGCCAGTCTCTAATTGACGACAACATGAAATGCCCGGAATCAATTAGGAAGCATTGGATTCACTCATCCGTATCGTGTATATTGTACATCCGTTACACATATTATTTTCTATATCTAAACGGCTTTGACCCGTGGGCTATGACCTCCGTACGCCACTGCACCGAAACATGCTGTCTCGGCCAATGGGATTTGAACACATGGCACATAAGTGAGACAGATCTAGAGAGGCTCTTCCTGAGCTTAGTGTGGAGTAAACTATTGGCGTAAAATTATGGTGATGCCTTGTTGAATATTCCCAATATCTTCCAAATCAGTTCAGTGTACGCGGTACTGAGTACCGAAGCCATTCGACAGCTACCACTATTCATATCGATTTTTACTACAAAATGACAAAAAGGTAAGTAGTCTTGTTTGAACAACCAACCTGCCCAAGATGACACAGGTGACAATGGGGAAATATCACCGAAGATTAAAAGTGAAAGCACATTCGTCGATATTTACTAAGAATCTTCAAAGTGCTGCTCAAAATGACTTTGACGACATTACTATCGTGCGAGCGACAGTGGAGGACGCTCCAGCAGTCCTTGATATCCTAGATGCTGCAGTCAAATGGCTAGTATCGCAGGATAGAGTTGGGCAGTGGGGAACATCACCATTTTCGGAGGATCCACGACGCACTGAGCAACTCAAAGAATTTACAACAACCGGTCATGGCCTCTGGCTCGCCGTCAAGGCGAATTCTGATGCTACGCCACTAGATGAAAACCTCCTTTCAGATACACCACTCAAAACCACGGAAGAAAAGACGGGGGGATCTATCGTAGGAGCTCTTGCTGTTGGAGATAAGATGCCTTATATGACACCTGTCTCTGAACCTGAGATGTACGTGCGATTATTAATTACGGATCGACGATGCGCTGGCAAGGGGGTTGGCAAACGGCTTTTAGAACATGCGCGTAAGCTCGCCAAGGGGGCTGGAGCCTCCTTACTACGGTTGGACTGCTATGCAGGTGATGACGGGAAACTGGTTCAATACTATGAATCGCAAGGATTTAAGCGATCCGAACTCTTGAACAGTGAAGGAGATTGGCCTTGTCAAGTGCTTGCTCAGCATCTACATGAGGTGGAGGAAGAGGAAAAAGGGGTTTGATTCTTTTCTTTCCCAAGGTCTGGTGCGTACCCTCGAAATGAACTGCGATCTCAAGATCGAAAGATGTGGGAGAAGACGAGCTGTTACGTACTTATGTTCACTCTGGGTGTTTCTCCCCCTTGGCATGTTGTGTACCGACTGATCGATCAATCCAGCGGTTTTCTATGTCCCAGGCAACATTTCCATGTTGAACATGCAACGCTGCCATATTGAGAACCGTCATCGGTCTTGTGAATGAAAAGACCATTTATGTCATACAAACTTTAATTAAATATGGCAGCCGTATATAACACATCTATTATCTTGTATGTGTCTTGCCGGATACAACTTACCGAAATAACATGCCAATGGGGGATTAGTGACCAAATGAAGGGAAACAAACCACGGAGGTAAGGCTGAATTCAACTCGGGCGACACCGCCTGGTGTTTTCCAATCCAGGAGTGAGTTGTGTCCTGCCTCGATACTAACCCAAAGCTTCCCTTCTCATTTGCCTCATTGCTGCATAAAATTAGTTCTTCAACCATCACGGTCAAGATATGACACCAAGACGAGGTTCTAGCTATCCGAAATTTTTCAAAGACGAGTACTTGAGGGTGCAAATCCCACTCTTAGGACGGCTTATATCCTCATGCAAGATATTTAACATAGATTTCAACTTAAAAAGATATCAGAAAACCTTCGAGTCCAGAAATTAACTACTAGTCTCGATGTATTAGGGGCGGATGGATATAGGTAATAGAGTAATAGCCCATTTACCCATTTACCGAATATTGACAAAACTGCGACACGAGCACCTCATTCTGCAAACGAACTGATTCAATCTATTATTATAGCAACATTATGTATTAATTCATTACTACCAAATCAGGTCTAAATCACGACTTTTGTCTATCCACCAATCAATCTTTCAGGCTTTCCAATCTTCTCATTTCTTCCATCACGCAGATGAAAACAATCAAAAACAGTACTCCTACTCCCGAGTGAGTTTTGCGCGCAGTTTTCCTCCGTAGAAGTAGAAAACGTATGGAATCAGAACCATGGCGAGTCCAATGAAAGCAAGCAGCCAAGAAGCCCACTGCAATCCAAGACGATCATACATTTGCGTGGTGAAGAGCGGGAAAGCTGCGCCACCACCAGAGCGCAGGAAGACCTTGGCTGCCAAAGCCGACGCAGCGTATTTCTGGTACGAGTCGATGATATAGTTATTCACGGCATAGTAGCACAGCACCATGCCAAATCCAAAGGCAATACCTGACGAGGCCGGACCAACCCAGATGATATGCTTGTAAGATGTAGCGCCCAAGATGAAGAAGGCGATCGGGATAAAAGGAGCACCCAGCAGGGCTGCGTGGAGTCGGTCCTCTGGTGTTGGAGCTCGCAAGCTGCAAATTTTCTTGAATTTGCCCTCGATGACTGGGGTGACAACTAGCGCAAAGCCGGCGCCAATCAGAATCGGGATGAACATGAGACCAATCTGGCCGTCGTTGTAGCCATGAAGCTTGGTGAAAATCACCGGGTATGCAAAGAAGAAGGCGTAGAGCATTGCGTAAATCAGGACGATATACATGCACATCAGGTCGAGAACTGGCTCAGTCATGATCATAGTGATGGGCCGGATCAAGCTCGTGCGAGCGATTTCTTTGAAACTGAGCTTCACCTTTTCTTGCTCAGTCATGATGTTTGGGTTTCCAGTCTCTTTGCGGAGCTTTGCGGCGCGGCGCTTAAGGATCACGGGAGTATATGTCTCCGGAACGAGACCAATCAAAATCATGATTGCACCAGCGAAGGCCAAGTTCACCCAGAAGAAGAGGTCGAGGCGGCCACTTCCGACGGTGATCCAACCTGTCACGATAGGGCCAAGTACGGGGCCACAGTATGGTGCGGCAGCAAAGTAAGCAATAGCCATACCGCGCTCCTCAATGTTCCAGATATCGGCGATGGTGCCACCAGCCAGGGAAAGGCCTGAACTGGAGAAGACACCGCATAGGAATCGGCAGACGAGCAAGCCACCGATGTTTGGAGCCAGAGCGCATGGAATGTTGAAAATGACATATAAAGCGAGAGAGATGATGTATACAGGCCTTCGGCCGATGATCTCGGAGAGGGGAGACCAAAGCAGAGGTCCAACTGCAAATCCGCAAACCATGATTGAACATGTCAGGATGGCAACTTCAAGAGAGACATTGTATTTGTCTTCAATCAAGCCCAATCCTCCGGTGACAATGGCGGACCCGAATGCAACACATACCACGAGTGTCGAGGCGACAAGAGTGATATACCAGCGATAAACGCGGGACCAATTGTAAGGGTGCGCAGGATCACCAATAGTGAATGTGACAAAATCCACGGGTCCATTTCCTCCTTTTTCCACGTCGGTGTCAGGGGGTGTGCCAGCTTTTGTGGATGAGGTAGAAGGACGAGATCGGATCTGCTCCAAGGTCTTTTCGGGAACAAGACCAGTACTTGTTTCAACAGTGTACTCTTCGGGGAACACAGGGTCTGAGTCATGTCCAATGGCAGGATAGTTGTAATCCAGTCGTGGAGGGGTGGCTGTGATGCCCCGGTCGCGGAGACTCTCATTGGTTTCGACCATAGATAGCTGGTGGGAATGCAAGGGCTCTGGGGTCTCGGAGCCTTCTTCTGGTATCGTTGAAGACATGATTAATGTGAGATCCTGTTGAATTCGAAGGACTTTTGATAGTAATGGAGTAATCGCGCAAGATACATTAAGGTGACATAGCAGATACTTATATTCTCACGCAGGCTGCGGTGGCGTCAGGTACATACTTCAAACGCCGACCCATCTCCGAGATAGACCGGACGATCACCGGAAAGTCGGCACGGCAGAAAATGACTCATCAAAATCCGCTGCAATGTGAACGGCGAAAGCTCGGCCCGAACCATTACCAAAGTTTGTTTACATACATCAAGCAAGTACGTCCATGAATCCAGCTGGATCTAGCCCAACGTCGGGCTTATGATATCACTGCCGATATGCCGGACTGCGCTCAATGGCTCAGACCTGATCTGATCAGGGTTTTAAAAGGCCCGATCCATTCCCGGGCCGAGGAAGTCTCAAAAGACATTGTTTGCGTGAGGAATTGAACTCAAATATTCAAGATAAGCAAATGTTCAATTTTGGTTCATGGATAGCTAGGCTCTAGCCCCCCAAACCCTTGCCGAGAATTGTCACTCTGGCCTCCAGAAGTATCTGCATCTCGTAGATCGACATTTTTGGAATCTATCAACAGAGATAAGGACTTGTCATCAAGCTGGATAGATGCCAGGGGTGAAATGCCAGATTTAAATACAAATTAATGCCTGAATGTTTCATCACCGCCTTCTGGCAGAAACTGAAAATAGCTGGAATGGACTACAATGACAGCCGCCTTGATAAGTAACATACTCGGGTTTTATTGCATAGGCGGCTGTGTATCTCTATTGGGAAAACAAGAATTTTTCATGCCATGCAAAATTATATATATATGATGACGACCTTATGTTGCTTGGCTTACCGCGCCACAACGTCAATTGACGGCAAATCGGCTGTCGAAAATGGGCGCCGATCTAGCTCATCCATGGATCTATCAAAACCTTCGACATAGCAGCGTCACGTGCACCAACATATAACATCGAGCACTGCGCGGTAATCAGCTCGCCCTTCGCTCACATATATGGTTTTCATGGTCAGGAAAGTCATTATCAGAATGTATGCACAAGAGATTCTGCTTTTTGGAATAGTTTCCTGGTCTTTAAAATGCAGTCGTTATCAAGGAGAATATGCGATAAACAAGTTGGAGTCCTGTGATATTGAAAGTTTTCGCTCTCTAGGCCTTTTTCTAGCACCGAGACAAAAAATGGCCATTACTGCAACATCAATGCATCGTTCACTTACATGGCTCTTACGGGTGCATGCGATATATATATATGGTATACAATTAGCTTTTCGACAGTGTATCGAGAAGACGAGATATTGACATTGGCTGGTTATACTGAGCCTATCCAATTGTTCCTCTCATGGGCCATAACCCAGTGAACCTTCCGCTACCTAGCCGCCCGAGGAAGTGCACTGTGTTCTAATCCCCACATCCACCACCCCCGTCTCCACAACCTCCAGAGTCTCCGCTGCTACCCGAGTCACCAGTACCTCCCCCGGAATAACCTCCTCCACCAGAATCATTACTGCTACTACCACCGCCAGAATAACCACCGTCGCCCCCGGAGCCGTGCCTACTGCCAGACTGGGGGTAGTATTTGGGGCCTTTCCGAGGAGTGAATGGATTATTCCTAACCGAAGCGGTATTCCCATGCACATAAGTTGGCTCGCGGGCAACGACCAACGCCCGAATTCTCCCCTCCTCGTGTCGTTTTCTAGCTTGGATCTCTTCATTCCTTTTCACGGCTTCTTCGTACACAGTAGGAGCCATTTGCTGGATTCTTTGCTCCTCATCCCGTTGCATTATGATCATATTCTCTTTTCTTTCCTCCTGTTGGTTTCTTTGGCCCGAAAAAGGGATTTGAACATCTTGAAAGATGTGATATCAAGCAGTAGACTGTCAAAATTCTCAGATTAGTTAGACAGTAACTTGTACACTAGGGCCTAACCTTGACCTTGTCGAAGAGTTATTGAGATCAGCCGGAACAAGTGAGTTTAGATTCGCAGTATTGAGTTTGTGCGACGATGAATAATGGAACAAGAAAATTGGTGAAATTGATCGGCTATAAAGATACTAACAAGTGTATGTAGCATGTTTCCTCCAAATAATATGATTCAATAGAGCCTCGGGCGACCAGACAACACAGCCTCCTAGTTTGTCTCCACTCAACTAATTGCTTATACTGCAACCTAGGTGCGCTTGGCATATCGAAAACTACTTTTACAAAAATCCTGCTGGTCTTGCGAAAAAGATCATAACTGCTGATCTTATCTCGCGTTATAACACCGTTTAGGATCGCTTGGAATCAAAAAACGTATGGCCAAGGCAACGTTATGATGTTGCTACCGAGCCTCAATCTGAGGCTGTAAGTCTCAAGAGGAGCTTTCCTCGCATCTTGATACAGGACATCAGGTGGTCTTGGTATAATTTTGGAGTTGGCAGGCAACCGGAATAAATACGAGTTCTGGGGTCACGCGACGAAAATATACTTCCCCCGACTTCAATAACTTGGATAACAATGACTCAGTCCGCTCTGGTCGATTTTCAAATCTGTCCAACTAGGGCAATTCATAGAAAACCATTGAAGAACAAAGCAAATTTGGAACGGGTATCAAAATGGGAATCTTATGTATATCTATCATCCCTTTCACTTGGTGTTGCTTCTGTGGTGGTCTTAAGAGAGTCCGTGGAGTCATCATTCAGGATAATTCTTACAACTGACTGCCGGTCAATTAGCTTCTGTGACGCCTTTTAGTGACACTTCGATATTACATCGAGTTGGCGGAAGAGCGTGATGGTTTTCAAGACATAAGATAGGTTCTAATCTAAAGCCTACTTAGGAGATTATGATTTCAAAGTGACTAGGTACGATATACTAGGGGCCGGACGGGTATAGGCTGAGCAGACGGGAAGCGATGTTATCCACACCCTATGGTCGTATGCACCAAATCCGGAGATCGGGAGTAGGAGGGGAGGATAATGAGCGAGTCACAGGGGGTAAGGCAGGAAATAAATGATACTACTTTCATTACATTTGTAGTTATTCACGCAGGCAAGGTGGTTTGACAGGGAACATGAAAAATGTGCAGCGGTTCACTAAGATAAGTATTCAAAGCCTATATGCGAGCTATGAGTGAAAGCATGAAGTGGACTAGTTCTGAAAGACTTTCCAGAGACCATGCATCCCAAGTATGATGGACATGTCATAAATATTTTGCGACTGGGCGATTGGACAGACCTAATTCCATATTCTCTAGCAGAACATTCACATCCTTCTCTGCCTCAGTCCATGCTTGCTCAATGACCTGCTGAATCTCCGGCCCACGAACCTGGATCGACGCTTTGAACGGCAAGGGACGAGAACTGAGGCCCTGAGTCATTTCCAGGGGATTAATCTCTAGCTTCTCACCGTCGCAGTATGCATGCCTGAATTCAAATGCCCAGATGAGCCGCGAAATAGCAATGAAAAGTGAATTACGTGCGATATGTTGCCCAGGACAGACGCGTTGACCGAACCCGAAAGCCGAAAGAGGAAGATTAGGGTTTTGAATCCACCGGTCGGGGTTGAAGTCTTCGGGGCGGTCGAAAAGTTCTCCATCCATATCCAGAGACCAGTGATTGGCAACCACGATGGTGCCTTTGGGGATGTGGAAATCGCGGTACTGGTCGTCCTTCACTGTGGCATGATGAAGGCCGCCAGGTGCCACCGATCGCCATCGAAGAACCTCATTCAGGAATGCATTGACATAGGGGAGAAAGTACATATCATCAAAGCTAGGCAGGCGCGATCGTCCTACCACCTGGTCAAGCTCTCGGTGGGCCTGATGAACAGCATCTGGGTGCAGAACACAAGCTAAGACAAACACCTCAAGCGCAATCGCAGTTGTGTCATTCCCAGCTTGATACAGGGAGCCGATGATGTATCCACGCTCCATCCAGTCCATTTCGTAGCCCTTGCTTAGTTCCTCAACCTGTTTAGTCCAATTCCACGAGGGTGATTGGAAGGCAAACTCCATAAGATACTTGAAAAGATCGACTTGCCGTTGATGAAGTGCTTCAGCCGCCCTCTTCCACGGGGCCAGGCATTTAGGTAAACAATCTAGAATAGGAAATGCCTCAGCGATGACATTAACGGCTTCACCGGCGATTTTCTCCGTCACCTGCTTGATTTCTTTTACCTCGTGTTCATCGCCTCGTTCCAAGCGTTTACCGTAAGCCAGCGAATTGATGACACTCGAGGCAAAACGGTGGAAGCGACTTGGGAAGTCCTCAGTAGATAGTAGCTCGTAAACCAGCTGTGTACTTTCGAGATCCTGAATGGGCTGATAACCCTGGCTGGCACGCTTGTTCACTAGCGAGGCGTGAATCCGGTGATGCGCGGCCCATCTTGGACCAGATGGCATGAATCCCATGTGTAATCCATTACTCGCACGATCGGTCAATACTTTGGGACGCGAGCTGTAGATAGCAGCACGCTTTACTAGCAGATCCCTGGCCACCTCATGGGACCCCAGGACGACCATCCGCCTGGTACCCAGCTTGACGCTGATTATAGGACCGTAAATTCCGTGCCAGGTTTTGAACGTCCTCCAGGAATTTGTGGCTGGAATTTGGTGGAGGTTGCCAATGAAAGGCAGTTCCTGAGGCCCCGGGGGAAAGTTGGGGCGCTGGTGTCGGTGGACGTAGAGAGTCGCCAACATGACCAGTAGAGCGAAAACCAGCATCATGTTGTGGTAACGAAGAAAATGGTCTGAGAATACTAGGGTAGAGCCAGTGGTCCTGTGGGGAATCACTTGTAGGATCCTCAGCATAGTGATTGAGGTCGCGTCTGTTCCTGCACCATTCAGCAATTTCCGGTTGAGGACATTTGTACCTTCACACCCCAGTGTCTACTATTATATAAAAATTCTTCATTTTACCAGATCGTCTTCCCATCCGAGGGCTGGGACTACGGAACCCTCGGAGTCTTCGATGTCGTTGCTTACAGCTCTTTCATGGCAGGCCTTTTTGGTCAGAAGTAAGTGGGAGCCTGATTCCTATAGATTGAAAACGATATAGCAAAAGCTGAGGAAGAAGGAACATCCCTATGTACCCAACTATCTTCCTCCACCTGCATATCTGACCCCACATTGGTTGGACCTCAGTAACCCAGCTTGTACCACAATTCACTGCTAACAAAAGCCTGGGTGTCGTTGCAGTAATTTGGAGGACTTCGGAAATACACATCATCTACCGAGACCTCCAGACATTGCCCGAAATATTTCGCCTGATCGTCCACGAATGTGTCGTATGCTTTGCAGATGGCGGCAAGTGAGGTCCAGCGATCATCCGGCACTAGAGACTGGATATGGCTAGGAGTCGCACCGGTAAGGACACAACCAGGTAATATTGCATTTACTTGTATGCCTTGGTTTTGAAGTCGGGGGCCTATGGAGCGCACGAGACCGATCACCTGCGGCTGGCTGTCAGTGCATGAGACCTAATATCTGCAGGAGGTTTACCTACCCCATGTTTTGCACTACTGTATTCAGGAGCAAAGGGAAATGGGTAGATACCGGTCGGGGAGCTGGTTACCACTACCTTTCCACCAGGGCTCGGGTTTTTCTTTGCGTAATACACGAAGAGCTTCAGCCCGTAGAACACCGAGAAGAGATCCACTCTTAACACGTCCAAGGCTGGCTCTTTGGGCATATCGTCGTCTGGGCTTGGGTCACAGATATCGTCAGGGCGAAAGATACCCGCGTTGGCGATCAACAAATCAAGCCGCCCACTTCCACTCCATTGCCAGGCGCACTGAAAAAGAGACAGCTGGTCAGCCCACAAGCCCACGTCGGTCCTGTGGAAAATGGCTTGGTCAGCCCCCAGTTCCTCAGCGGCCTGCATGCCAGCTGTCTCATTTATGTCGGCCATAACCACCCGCCACCCTTTTGCGACAAGATGCTTAGTGACAGCAAGTCCAATGCCTGATGCGGCACCAGTGACGATCGCGACGGGCTCTGATACAGGACACATGGCTGGAAATGGCATATCCAAGTGGGAGATTGGGAACTATTTTGAGTTCTTTCTGGTCCGTATTTAAACTATCGGCTTGAAGCGGTCCTTGGCTAGTCTACATTTCTTGACTACGGGTAGCACTGAGTGTTGCACACCACGTTGCACATAAGCGTTTTAAATCCCTGGCTGTTATACAGCGTCTTTGCAGGGCTTGCACCCTGATGAAAAGGCGGGGAAAGTGTACCAAAAATGCTAGCATATAGTATCGGTGAAGGGCCGTGAACTCGATTGAAAGTTATCGGGCATTCTATTGGCCAAACATCATGAAGTAACCGGAGGCTGCATATCTTACCATGTAAAGGGGACTGGCCAACGAGGAGAAAAGAAGTAGGCATGGATTCCAAAGGGCAGAGAAGTCGGATTACGTATTCTGCACCCTGGATTCTCCGAGATTTCTTGTTTTATTATTTCCTATCAGTTGCTTGACACTCTTTTTCCTGCCCTATCTTCCTTTCCCCGGGCCCATGATGTGTATCATGACAAAACGAGCATGGATGGATCACACAAACTATGATAAGATATTCAGCTCATCCAACCGATAACGTGCACACTTGAAGTAGAGCAAGACCTGCCCCTTCACCCAGTCCTGAACTAAATTATACAGCTTCATGTTGCTGTCAATTGCCCGCAAGACGCCATTGAAACGGTCCTGGACGATCACAGTGAGATGCTCCAACACCTGGCCCACGGAAGTATTTTGCACACGTGCCTGCTGATGTACAAAGTTCTCATACTCGTCACCGACAACTGACTCCTTGTAAAATGACATTACATCGTTGATAACACATGTCAAATCAGCCAGATCCGGCATCACACCGAGGAGAAGACTCTCGGCGGCAAAGACATTGTTCACGCAACCAAATTCTTTCTTGAAGGGAATAAGCCAAGCAAATGCCTCGGCAAAGCCTGTCATCCATCTGAAGTAGCGCGGGAAGTCGGCCGACATCTGATCGGCCTGGTACGATATGCCCTCATATTCAACGATGTTTGCGCTGACAGATTTTATCACACTTCCCACGAGCATGTCGACACTGAAGGCACCATAGTGGTCGTCCATGGCCAGGAGAGATCGCTGGAATAAAGCCAAGATTGCGCTTTTCTGCTCGTTTCCCGTGATGAGGTTCTTGCGGAATGAACGGAGCTCGTTAAGGACCTTGTGGCCTCCATCATCCAGAAGGAAAAATGCGCACGCAAACTGGGTAATAGCCTCTTGGACTTCTATAGGGTGGCGTGGGAAAAAGCAGACGGCAACCAGGGCCCCGTGAGTCGCCATCTTGTCTGTTATGACTGGGTCGTCTTTGGCTATGAGACTGTCATGGATCACATGTTCTTTAAGATGCTCAATGTGCAATTGAGTGCTCGTATCGACGTTAAACTTGCCAAGCAATGTTTTGGCCAGGCTGGTAAACTCGGCCGGGGTCACCGTAGTTCCAAGTTGGGAGAGGCTGTTGGTGGTGGTGTATACCATGGGGGAGAAGTCTTTATGCATTGAAATAGCCTCCATTGGTTTGTAATTCGGCTGGAGATGATAAAATAATGGTCTGGGCTCTGAACTTTGATACTGGATAAGAATGATGATATCGATGGGACTGTAGTCGCATGAAGTTACTCAGAGACAAAGTAAACCGACTAGATGAAGGTTGATGTATCCAATTCATGAATGCTTTTATAGCCTGAGGTAGAAGTAATAAAACATCAGATACTCACCCACACCTGGCAAACTGCCTTTCAACAACATAATTTCGTGTAATCATAGCCATAGGCAAGTCATAGACTAGTAAAATGGCAACAATGAGAAGCTGAACTGCCTTTTTCAAATTTTTCGATTACGCAGAAGGGTGATTGTGCAACAGAGGAAAGCCTGCATTGAATATCTGTACAACTTCCCTAAGAGGTAGTTCACTCCCACTTCGATCAAAGTGAAGATATCCATCTACCAGTACGGCTGATCTACAGAAACTATATCTTCATTAGTGCGGTATGTAGCACCATTTACGTTTGGTGCAGGCATCGGAAACACAGACCTGATTTGAAGAGCTTCTGGCAGCTGCTGAAACTGCGCACACTTTGGTGGCTTCTTTCCTTCCTATTTATCGTAGAAATTTGGATATTTTCGCTTCTCAATTACAACGATTTACTTCTATTCATCATGATATGCCCTCGATATATACTGAACATCGATGGTTGTGATCAAATCAGAACACTCACGCTACGTGTTATCTTGCGCTTAGTTATTTCGGTTTTTTAAAATCCCCAAAAATGCTAAGAATATCATGAGGAAGTCTTTGTATGCAGATTCATATGAGCGCACCCTACCAATGACACCTAAATTCAGAATATTGTGTATTACGAAACATAAAAATGAAGAGCTGACAGAGACTCGGTGGCTAACGTCAAAAGGCTCACTCACTGACTCTGCAAGCGATCCTCTTTAATCACTTCAAACTGAGCCTGTAATTTGCATTTCAACTGATATATGGATAGTCTCGAAGCAAATGGAAGAACAACTCATAAAGCCTCGGCTGACTGTAAACACCTTATTTTTGACCTCGAAGATTCTGAAACAGAGCTTGAGGTCATGAATTTTCCTCGGCCTCAAGTGCCTGCTCTTTTTCAAGTCTTGCATCTTCTTCTGCATCATACCTTGCTAATTCTTGTCTCCGCTCTTCTCGTATGCGCTCGGAATCTCGTGTCGCTTCCTCTCGAAGCCTCTGACGCTCTGTGTCATCCTCCCTCGCTTTCGCTTCGTCTAGCCTTTCTCCCTCGTGGACAAGCCAATGTCCATGAAGATCCATCCATGCTTTCTCCTCGTGTACTAACCTCAGCACCATAAACATTTGGAGTTCCATCCAAATCGGAATGATGCAATCAACAATGAGCGCATCTGGGTCTCTGTTGAACCAGTTTTCTTTGAACAGATCTGGATCGCTTAAGGCTCGGGGATCGTCTTCATGAAGTCCACAGAATATGGCAAATTCTGGCCGCAGCCCTTGTTGGATACCCCTCTTGATGTAACCCTCTATACAGATGAGCTGAGAGATGCATATCGTCATAGATAGAAAAGCTTACCATGTGTATATTCAAAATCCTCGGTGCAAAGATCCAGACCTTTGATATAAACGTCGACCATTTTATCGAGAAGAGGGAAGGTGATAGTATTACGGCCGTTCTGGTGATGTTTCTCGTCGTATCCACACTTGGGTGCTTGATAATGTGGGTATAGTTCATGAAACCTTTGATTCACCTCAACGACTTTCTTATCCGATAACCCAATCCACTTCAGACACTCTAGCGTGTCAGCGGGGTCTGGTAGAGCCATACCCGGCCGGTAAACACAGTCCGAGAACGCACCCTGCAGTTTAATAGGACCAATCGACGGATGTATTGCACCTCGTGAGGTTCCAATCTTCACAAGCTCCGGAGTCCATTCAAATTTTATAGCTTTGTATTCCTCGGACAAATCGAGATGGTCAAGCTCCGGGTCATCATTGGTAATATTCATGTTATATGATGATTTCAAAGGGAGGTTTGTGAAATGCCAGATATGTTGATGTGTGGATCTTTCCGAGCGGGTTTACGGCCGCGCGACCGAGGTACGATAGGGTGAGTGCTCAATAGACAGGGTGAGAAGCTGGGTGAGAGCGGGTGATTCTCACCCTCCGTCGCGCGACCGCTGCACTGACCCCTCTCAGCTGAGCTACGGTAGACCATGATTGGGTTTTCGTGAACTATTTAATACTTGGGTTTTATCAACGACCAGGTCGCTAGGAGGCCTGGGTAGAATTAGCGTATCCTCGAGCTCTATATTATTGGTTGCTTTTATAGCTGCAGTGATATGTTTTCTTGGATGCATAAAGTGGGCAGTGCACTGTAAATAGCTAGTCATGTTACATTTGGTCTACTGCATGGCTTAACACGTCACGGAACCTTGGAAGATGGACCTCAGCCTCCAAATACTATTATATGAGCAGTGGTCGGCCCCTACATGCCCCAGTCAATCCATCAATCCCCCATCTTTACTGTGTTTACCATTCTGGAGCAATCTATCCAAAACAAGAAACGACATCACTTCTCAAACACAAGTATGGAAACCATCCAGACCCATTAAACTTTACAATATTAACGTCTAGTCCTCCCTACTCAGGATGAACGACTTGAGTAAAGCGAATCAGGAGGCACTCCAATCAATCAACGCGATAATCAGTGGCCAAAGCATCGGCTTGAACAATCAGCAGAAGAGTTATCTCCAACACCTGATTTCCGGAATAGAAATGAACACAAGGATTTCCGACCTTCAGGGAATGAGATGGGCCCCTGTTGTGCAAGTGAAAACCACCGTCAGCTTTGCTGCTCGCCCTGATCCCAATGAAGTAAAAGTGAAGCTTGATATTGACATTCCGCCGGAAAATTCAAAACAGCAACCTCACATCGGATATGAAGTCAAATGGAATGATAAACGGGTTGGTAATGGTCATATTTGGATTTCCCCAAATGTCTTACATGCTTCACGTCCGGGATTTCAGCAGAAGTTGGAAAAATATGGCTTTAGCTCACCATGGTTGGATGCAGAAGCTCAGAATCCTGAATATGTGAAGGCAAATGTTCGTCACGTCAAATTCATGTTCAAGAGATGGAGGGGTGCTTAATATCTCGTCTTTTTGCTTAACCTCGTCATTGCTGTCTCCCATTTTCTCTTGCACGAGAGAAGCAATTGGGTTTTGGCCCGTGGATTGAGTGGCGATCGCAGAAGTCAGGTACTCCTGACTATTGGTTCTATCACGTTAAGCAAATTCAAGGAACACTAGAATGGCAAAGGCGATCTTGGAGACTGAAGTTGAAAGGGAAAATAAAGGCTTGATTCAAAGGCTTCTTCAAGGAAACGAATAAAGGCACGATGGGAATTTCTTCATCCGGTCAATTTGCGTAAGTTTTAAGTAGCCAAGGGGCAGAGCGGCCACTAGCGGATAAAACGGAATATGATTGAATATATGTTAAACCTGATACATAACCCTAACTATGAGCTATATATTGGAATATTTTTTACATAAAATATAGGTCGTAATATTTATGAAGACGCTAAGGTGGCAGAATGGAACCCCATTTTTTATGAAAATGTGGGTTCTAAACTTCAATATAATTGTTTATTGCTACCTCTGGTCGTTTGCAGTGAGCTGCGCAAACACTCGACAAGGGTACGGGCGACTATTGGGACCAGCGATACATAACCCTCTCATTGGATACTGCCTTACCGCCTATTATCACCGCCTTTTCGAAGCATATACCCTGATCTCAATTTGTATGCTAATTCCTACTTCTCTTTTACTTTTTACACTTATAAGCGTAGACGGCCACTTCTGCGGCCTTGTGATGTCTTTTTTATAGGGCTTTTTAGTGGTCTTTTTAGTGGTCTTTTCAGCAGTTTTCCAATAGCCTTCACAGTGGCTTAGCTATAGTCAATTCACTAAATTCTCTAAGAATACCTTAAGGATGGCTTTAAGTAGCTACCAGAGTAAGTGTGGAGAGGTGGTAGAGGGGAAGAGAGAAGGATAATTACGAAGTAAGAAGGCTTTAACGCCGAGGATTTATATAGGTACGAACAGCGTTACGTTTAGTGCCGATCTTTTAAGGCCTTACATACTATACTTAACCTAATTTTTCGGGTAAATATCTATTAATGAATGATATATTTCTGAATATAAGTTGGTATACACCTTTAAGCAAATTGATATAATTGTAGAGGCAAAAAGACTGTATACCATGATTTCAGCATAGTACTTGGAAAGTGAGGGTGGATCAACAATTCTGCCAGGAAATATAAACCAATAAGGGGGTTATGTATCGCTGGTCCCAATGGTCGCCCGTACAAGGGTACGATGTACGTATTCTACGTTCATTGATGTACCCAGTCCTGTGGGGACCAAATAAAACCCGAGGGTATTGGATCTCCAAGAGACTTGGTTTGGTATGACCAACATGTTTGCTGCACTCATGGGCAACAAGCAATGAACGAACAAAGAAACAAAAAACAAAAAAACATACAACAGTGAGGATTCGCTGGTGGTCACCCACCCAACTACTAACTCACCGGCGTGTGGCTTAAGTACGGCTGAGCGGACGGGAAGCCCTGTTTTCCACACCCTATGGTCGTATGTGCTTGAAATGACAGGGCAAAGTTATACAGAGCAATAGCAATATGGAAGGAAAAGTATTAATTCTGCTCGATACTATTTTGGCATTGAGTATAGTTAAGCGGAGAATAAGCCCCATGTTACATACCGTAAGATGGTATACAGTATGTAACTCATCTTAGAATGGGAACGCTAATCATCAGAAGTTATATATGGAAAAGCCTCTTGGACAAAGTATGCTTTTTCCGCCTTTTTGCCGTCTACCTATGAGACTGGAAAGGGGAGCTTGAAGACTCAAAATACCTAAGACGAGTAATTGAGAAGACTGCTGGAAAACTGTTGAAGAACCCTGTAAGAAAATGATCACAAGGCCGCATAAGCGGCCGTCCACGGGTATACTCGTGTGCTATCTGATTTGGGTTGACTCATCATTGCTCATATCCGTTAGGCGCATCGTCATTGGCCAATCTTCCCACCTCTCAGGCACTTCCGACCTTGCTATCCATGGATATCTACCTATAAAAGACCTGTCAGTCCACTCGTAAGGAGCTTGGATCTAATACAACCTCAATGGTCTCAAATTCGACAATGGAACATCTTCTACCTACGGGGATGCACGTTATCCCCTCCGACCGTCTTGATCTGCGCCCAGATGCTGACATAGACTTTGACATCCTGCATCCACAGCCAGTAAAGAGTGTCAAAAATATATGGTTCTTCTGGCATTCGGGCTATTCAAACATGCACCCGTACACACAGCGTACAGTGCGCGCATGGCATCGCCGATTTACCAAACAAGGGTGGACTGTGCGGGTCATCGACCGGCAATCGGGATCAAAAAGCAACATCGCCGAGTTTCTGGATGTCACCGATCCAGCACTTTTCCCACTCGCTTTCACAAATGGGAGTATCACTGGCTCCTATGCGTCGCAACACACTTCGGACCTTGTTCGTTGGCCGCTGCTCCTGCGATATGGGGGTGTCTATGCCGACGTGGGTATGATGCAAATTGGCGATCTGGACAAGTTATGGAATGAGACAATTGCAAACCCTGACTCTCCATATGAGGTTCTGTCTTATACACCCAGTGGTCAAGATCACTACAGCTTGTGCAATTATTTCCTTGCCGCATTGCCAGATAACGGACTCTTCACTCGTTGCCATCGTCTACTTCTCGCTCTTTGGGGCACAAATGGCGGTGCAACAAGCACCGATGGTATGCATGCCAACCCTCTCCTCCAAGGCGTTCCTCTGATGGGTGGTGAATTTACGATCACCGAAGATGATGGGACTCTCATCGGCCCTGCTGAGGTCAGCCGCCTTTTAACCGACTATATCATCCAAGGCCAAGTGGCGACTGCAGTAATGGGAATGATCGATGCCGAGGATAACTGGGACGGTCCGGCCTATTGCATCAAGCATTTTTACGGGATCGCGTTCATGGAAGGGTCGCAACTGATCAATGAATTAACTGCCTGGAACGGACAAGAGGCATTCGATCTGTTGTCACTTTCCATGCCGAAAGAAGGGGAGGAAGAGTCTGTGGGACAAAAGAAGGCCCGTGAAATCGTTGAGGCCTGTCTGTCGCGCAGCTTTGGCTTCAAGCTTGCCCACGGCCTCATCCTGCGGGTCAACAAGGTCACTCTTGGCTCACTCTGGCGGGACAACCCGGGGTCTGATATTATACCTGGCACATATGCGAGCTGGCTTCGCCATGGGACTGTCTACTGGAACCAAAATGACGTGCCAGGGCGAGTCCCGCTCTCGCTGCTCCCTCCGACCAAGGTTGGGAGATTACTCATGTGATGATGCATTGAGCATAACACACCAGATGCTGTGTTCCAGCTTCTCCATCACTGTAATGAGCATGAAAAAATGGCTTTCTTTCAACTCGCGTTGCTTGTTCTGCTTCGGGGTATTGCCGCAAGTTGTTTCGTCTTGGATGCCAGTCCAGTACTACGTACTCTGTACAATGTATGATATACCTAACTATAGAAGGGAAATGCGGGGCGGAGGAATGGAGTCTCTCATGCCTGCGATTCTGACGAATCCAAAACTTCTTCTCTACATCATAGACTTGACTTTGTTTACACCTCGACCTCCGCAAAGCCAGCCCACCCCAACCTACTAATGGATGGGTATCGGACCCAATGAGCGCCAAACAATACAAACAATCTAAGAAATGTGACTTAGCCAATTACTTTATGTTGAAATCCCATTTCTCGCCTTTATCTAGGGGTAATATTACCTTGTTCTCATACATATATATTGAATTGATAGTTAAAGATATTAACCAAGTCTAGAAACGCGAGAAAAACACAATTTCAAGAATGTATAGATCATGGAGGTTTGTTTGAAGAGTAGAGGGACTCTGAAGACATTTGAAATATATAACTTACATTGAAGTATATATTGTCGTTTTTCCGACCTCCACCTGTGGTATTTTATTCAAAATCAAAGTATACACTTATGAAGTAATTAGAGGTCTGAAACCTCAATTGAAACTCCGTAAAGTTGGTAGGAGGGTCAGAATACAGCAATTCCAAAATCCTAGTTGTACACCCTAAATGTGCTTTGGGGAGGTCTATTTACACCACTCTCCCTGTCCTCGCCTTGAAGCTATGGGAACGCATATCATCGCATGTATCCAAGTCGGACACCAAAAACCTTCGCCTTTTAAGTACCCGATTTACGGCTACATCATTGTTATATGGAGTACGGAGTAGAAGTCGGCGAATGGAGATAAATTGGTATTGACACCAGCATACATGCTTCAAGGGGGCCGTGGAAATTGTCCATAGTATCCAATGACAGAGCCGTGTGGTTGGAAGGGTGGAATAATTAGTCACCCGCTACTCCACCCGGGGTACTCCGTACAACATACAGGAGTATCAATCGCCAAGAACCCCCCTTTTTTTTTTTCAGCTTTCCCAGTCTGACCCGATTTTTTACGAATGACGACCATTCTAGATATAGTCAAGGGATGCGACAAGTAAGGAGCTTGCATAATACTTTTCTTCGTTCATTTTGAACTGACGCTGATATCTCGGTTAGCTTCGTTTCACAAGAAGCAGGCATTCTAGGGAAATGCTACACCTTTAGAGTGAATGGTTGTGGTGCCATATTAGGATATATTCCTCGACGAATTGTTGAAAAAATCCAGTGGTCTGACTCATGGTCAATCGATCACCACCAACATACCGTGACATTAGCTACGCCAATTACAGCCACAGCCGCTATGCGCTCTCTAGTGCTTGAAAATACCCTCAGGGCCACCAGGAGGCTAGGTGTAATCTCAATGCTAGAAAGCTGGCGCGATGAAACTTTCCCGGTCTATGGCCCTGAAGGAGAGGTTCTTCTTGAGATAGAGCGTTGTGCGAGTGCCTTGTTTGGGATTGTGACTTACGGTGTCCAACTTCTTTCTTTCGTGAGGGACAAAGGAGGCCTCAAATTATGGATTGGCACGAGAGCAGAAGGAAAACAAACTTATCCTAGTATGCTCGATAGCACTGCAGCTGGTGGTCTCGGTGCAGGGAAGCTACCCATTGAGGCTCTTATATGCGAAGCACGAGAAGAAGCATCCATACCAGAAGAGGTAGTGAGGATGAAAGTCAAGCCAATGAGCCACCTCACTTATTTCCATATCCGTGGGAACAAGGCTGGAGGAGAGACCGGCCTATTTCAGCCAGAGGTCGAGTATACATATGAGCTCGAATTAGAGCCAGGCATGATCCCAAAGCCAAAGGACTCTGAGGTAGAGTGTTTCAGCCTATACAACATTGACGAAGTACTCTTTGCTTTGAAAGAAGGACAGTTCAAGCCCAACAGTGCTATTGTTATTGTTGAATTCCTCATTCGACATGGGATCTTGAATGCTGAGAATGAGCCTGGCTACTCTGTGATATTATCCCATCTACACCGCAAGCTTGAATTCCCTCTTCTAATCCAGCCATCGAATTGAAATAATTTCATGTTCGGACACTCTGAGTATGTTCAAATGAAATATTGGTGACATGTATGTTAAGGTAAGCGAACAGATGGAATGAAATTATTTGATCCCGGTACAGTTGCATTCTCAAATCTTAAAGAAAGGTTTATTGGAAATAGATATGCAAATTCACTCCCAGAGCTGATAATCCGGGAAATACTTGTCATGGATCCTCCGAGCATACTCTACAATCGCTCGGTAACTCTTCACAAGCCGCGTGGTTTCTGGGCCCCTTCCAAACAGTCAGCACGGTTTATCAGCAGCTGAGGTACACCGTGAGGTCTACCACATTGACTACCACATTGAAGGGGTGCACTTACGCTTCACAGATCAGGGCCGACACCACAAAGCCAAACACCACTGCATCGGCCTCTGTGGGGGCATCGCCGCCCCACACCCAGAACGGCCCTTCCCGATCCCGATGCTGGACGTGCGCAGCCGATAAAAGCCCGTTGACAGATTGCCATATTTCCTGCCTGAAGACAGCAATTTCCTCTGCGGAAAAGCTGCCTGTGCCTTGACCCTGCTGGTTACGGACGATCTTGTTGTAGATTATGTTCCCAACAATCACCTGCGCAGGCCAGGGGACGCTCGCTAGGATTTTGGAGCGCATGGTATAATAGTTTAGGACCCACCGCTCATGACCCTGGTAGAAATAGAGCTTATCCTCTATCAGGGCTTTGAGGGCAAGGTCCTGAGCTTTTTCCACAGGGGAAAGTCTTTGGTTGAGATCCTCTAGATAACCAGACCCAATGAAAGACTTCGTGATTAATGTGGAGTCGGACATAAATTGACGTTGGCCATCACGCTCGAATGTGATGTAGGGTACCTTGCCCCGGGGACTTTTTGCGGGTGAGCCTGCCTCAACGTTGTAGGTGATATTGCCAAACCGTAGGCGGGCCTCGAGCTTAGTGACGAACGGCGACCAGGTGTAGCAGCCTTTTTCTGGGAAACCACGGAAAACAGTAATTGTGGGGGCTGTCTTGAGGGACACAGCCATTATGGGTAAGATCGATGGGTGATATGAGGACTGAAAGATAATTTTGGCCGTATGGGGAGAGTGTAGCCTTGAATAGTAAATGAAAAATGGCTGGAATATAAAGAATACAAAGCGAAACGGCCTAGAGCTAGCGACTAGAGATTTATGCCAGCTCGAGAGGATGGGCCCTTGTTTTATAGCTCAATGGTTCGAATGATCTATAGACTAACAAGGTAATTGGTGGCAGAGGAATCATGGTCGGTGCTCGGTCTTTGGCCAACCACCCGAAACATCACGCCCGGCGTTTGCGGCTTTTGGCCATGCGTCCCCAAAAGAGCCCCACTTGGCAGCCGCACTCTATTTTATAGAGTCAGGGATGGGTTCCAGTAAACACTCCGCTTCACCCCTGACATACAAAGACGGAGTAGGTGTACCAGGTCTGAATAGGCCATTCCATTCCCTGGTGTGGGAAATCAGAAATCCTGCCGAGAGCACATTCTGCTCACCAGTCCCAACGACGGTGACTGTGTACTCTCCCACTTCACTAACCCAGGTAGACAGCCTCTCGTCCCAGAAACTGGTCGCCAAAGCAACTGGAATAGTGATGATGACGTCCTGTATCTCGCCTTGTTGCAGCATGACCTTTTTGAAGCCCTTGAGCTCTCTGATGGGGCGGGAAATGCTGGCGTTGGGAGGCGGTGAGAGGTATACCTGAACTGTCTCTGCCCCACTGCAAGCGCCGATATTCTTCACTGAGACTGAAACTTCCAGAACTTCCTTCTTGATTTTATTCAGAGTCTTGAACGGCTGTGAAAGAGCAATATTTGAAAGCCGGAATGCCGTGTAAGAGAGACCATACCCGAAACCGAAGAGAGGTTTCACTTTGATCTTTTCATAGTACCGATAACCGACATAGATGTCCTCACTGTACAGAACCCTTCCTCCTTCTGATCGATAGGACAAGTATGCCGGATTCTGCTCGATGAATTCTGGGAAACTAAGAGGAAGTTTGCCTGACTTGAAGTTGAAGTTAGCTGGTGTGTATACGTAATATATAATTTGGTCAATACCCACCGGATTCACGGTTCCGAAGATGACATCTGCAATGCCATTGCCTGTCTCGTTCCCACCATACCACGCATGAAGAAGAGCTTTCACATTCAGAGCCCACGGCATTGCTACGGGCGTGCCACTCTGCACAACAACCACGGCATTTGGACGAACAGCAAGAATTCTTTCAATTAGCTGATCTGACATTGGTGGGAGATCCATATGTGGACGGTCAAACCCCTCGCTTTCCCATTCCCCACTCAATCCAATACAGACAACCACCTGGTCAGCTGACGCTGCTAGATCAACAGCCTCTTGAATAGCACGCTCTGGATTGATTCGTTTGCAGCCTCCGACTCGAAGTCCTCCAGGTCCAAATGACACGACTCCGTGTAGTTTCAGGTTGGAAGTCGGGGCAGTACCATAGTCAACAAGAATACTATACCGCTGATGCGCTTTGAGGTATTTAGAGCCACGCTCTTCTGGGGTTCCGATGCCAAAGAAAGATGTCCCCTGTCTCTGATTTGTCTTGTTATCGACGACCTTTTCCCCATCAATGAAGAGCTCGCCGGTACCGGCTACCGTAAGACCGAAGTCATATATCCCACTTTCCGCGGGCTCGAACATCCCTTCCATGGTAATGTAGTAAAGGTCGGAGTGAATCTCTGGATGCTTGTAGTCCATCAAAAAGGCGGAGCTGCTCCTCATGTGTAGGATGTCTACCGCTTTTCTGTTTTTGGTAGTGGGAGGCTCACTAAACACACTGAATATATATCCAGTCCGACCATCCTCGGTTTTCAGCTGTTCGCCTAGAAGTGGTAGCTCTTTATGGCCATACACCCCTTGCGAGAATGTTACACCGCCGGCACAGCCGCTTGTAATCCCTTGCAAGGGTGTAATGGCATAATACGGCGACAGGGCCGCAGAACCTCCGCCACAGTATGCCGCGATGTTGGCATTAGGTCCGATCACGACTGTCCTTTTCGTCGGATCGAGAGGAAGAATACGATCATCGTTTTTTAGAAGAACAATTGTCTCAGCGGCTGCTCTGCGGAGCAATGCTTTGTCCTCAGGAAGGTTCCGTTGGACTTCAGGTGCATTCTCGGGGATTTCTGAAATAGCAGCCAGTTTTACTAGTTCCAAAACAGTGCGTACCCGGTCATTGATAGTTCTCTCTGAGACCTTGTTGGAAGTGATGGCATGTACCAAGCCAGGCCCACGAAACCGAGATGGCCCAGGCATTTCAAGATCCAGACCGGCATTGATAGCCTCAGACACACTATAGGTGCCGAACCTGCTTTGGTCAGCCATAAAAGTATTATAGTAGCAGAGCAACAAACCAATCGCTCATGATAAGGCCTTTGTAATTCCATTCCCCCCGAACAACATCCTGAAGGAGGTCAGGGCTCTCGCTGGCATGACATCCGTTGACCTTATTGTACGAGGTCATGAGTGCACCGGGGTTAGCGCTCGTTATGGCTAACTGAAAGGGCAGCAGATATATCTCCCTCAGAGCACGCTCAGTGACTAGTGCGCTGACAGCAATACGCTCATGTTCCTGGTCATTGCATACAAGATGCTTCGGGGTTGGGATGACATTCTCGCTCTGGACACCCAAGCAATAACTCGCCGCTAAAGATCCCGAAAGTACAGGATCTTCTGAGAAGGATTCAAACCCACGACCTCCAAGCGGGCTTCTTTGGACATTGACTGTCGGACCTAGGAGAACATGTGCCCCTTTTGCCTTACATTCCAGACCAAGAAGTTTTCCAAGGGAAAATATGAGCTCGGTGTCGAACGAAGCACCTAGTGCTGTGGCACATGGCAAACAAGCTGCAGGAACCCCGTTGAAAAATCGGGTGCCTCGAACACCATTTGGTCCATCTGACATGCGAATTGAGGGGATGCCGAGTCTCGGAATTGCTGCTGTGTGCCAACCATCGATACCTTTGTATCTGGTCAGCTGCGCAGATCTCAAGTATTTAAGAAGTAGTTACAGGCTACAAACCCGAGAGTAATGAGACTTTCTCATTCAAAGAGAGCTCTGCCAGCACGTGTTCGATATCAATTCCTGACATAATGGCAGAACAATGTAACGTTATCAGAAGATGTGAAAACAAAAAGTGATTGTACTTGTGGCCGGCGGATCACATTTTTAAAGCCAACGATTATCCAAAGCCTTTCATGGAATCAAAATTTGAAAAGCTTCGTGTTAGCGAGTTATTTCGGGTACAAAGTAGGCGTAGGCCTGCGTCGCGGAGTATCGGACTTAAGCTAGTAGGGTGAAACCGGCATCGCGGTTCAGGATGCATTCGTCCGGGGACTTCTTGCTCACTAGGTGATTACATACAATTTGAAATCGAACTATAGCTTGAAATGATGCATTAAGACTCATTGATAGCTCAGCAGTTTGTGAAAATAACAAAATACACTCAACTAATGTCCCCTGGCTTCCAGCAGCGTTTGAACGACAGTGAACAACCCCATTACATCATTCGACTCATCCTTCCAGAATTCCAGCATTCTACAAACATCAAATACCACTCCCACCCACCCTAGAGGTAGAAAGGGTATCAGATCCACACTGCGCTCAGCGGCAAGTAGCACCATCGCACTCCGTGTACACGATCGAAGCATGAGCCATGTTCCGTGATGACGATGGTAGAATCCCACACGATTATGTTGTATTCTATCGACACAGACTTTGAGTCCTTTGCGAAGAAAGATACCATTGTTCCCGTCCGCTCGGCCATGTATGGCCTCGACCAGAAAGTGCCAGTACATTGTCTCTTGGCAATCCAGAAAGTGACCACTCAGAATGAATCGAAAGGGCTCATATTGGTCTCTACGTGGAGTGTCCACGTCAGGAGCCAACGTCGCGGGGAGGGATTGCAGCCTAGTCTTCATTAATTGATTTGCTGTTTCATCCGAGACAATGCTTACCATGCATCTGCTTGCTCCTCGAAGTCAAGAATCGCCGCTTTCATGTTGGGCTGTGAGTTTACCGCGTACGGTCGATAGAAATAGCCTAGAATGCGGTTCTTCAGTCGTCGCAAAGCAATTTCAGCCAGATAGAAGTACCATGCCGCTTCATCTTTGGACTTGAGCTCCTCTGGAGGCGACGGAAAGAATGTAGGGTATGTGAGATCCAGAACGTTCTTTTGGTAAAAATTCAATTCTAGTCGCAGCTCTCTGTCAACGTGATGTTAGACGTTGCCTCCTGGTTTGGATTTGATCTACTTACAGCTCAGACTTCAAGCAGGTCCAGTATACTCTCTGTTTTGTGTCCCAAGTGTCTTCATGACGATTACCATGGGTATGAGGGATGGAAAAGCCCCGACAGCACGCTAGGGCTTGTACGAACATCCTCCACGCCTCCACCGATCGCAAGTTTGTCATAAGGTATACACCGGCTAGAAAAAAGCATTGCGCTTCTATCGCACCGCTTCTGCAGAGCAGCATGCCCATTCGCTTCTGCGCGGCAAGGAAATACGCTTCAGCTTGTAGGAATTCCCTTGACTGGTGGAATAGACTAGAAGATACACCTTGTCCATTTCTTTCAAATGGTGTCGCGATTGCACCATTAGCATATATGAGAAGCTATTATCCTATGAGTTAGGAAATTAAGAGTAGGCTGGGGGCGCTCACCAATAGACATGACATTGCGTCCCACCCAATACCATTCAATCCCACTGTACTCATATACTCGTTGATATCCTCCTCCTTCAACGTTGGGTTGAATATATGTACATTGTTGAAGAAACTCTGAACGAGGTGATCGGCCGCACGGAGGTCGAGATCAACAGAGATTGGTAGGTCTGGATAACTTGTGTTCTCTCCAGATGGAGAGATTAGATATAGTCGCGACTCAAGGTCTTGGTCATGGAAAACAGGCCACTTGAGAACCTGTTCAATGTTAATAAGAGAGGGTTTCCATTGTGTCCGCTGGTCGAGCACAGGTGACCAATTTTCAAGAGATGTGCTAGGCGACGATACAGCAAGGGGAGCGTTAGACGGAGCCACCGGAGATGGATCATTGACCTTGGTCTGGATCAGTGTTTCCAGATCATCAATCCGTTTTAGAATAGCCAGGCTTGCGGAATCGAATCTGCTGCTCAATTAATTCCTTATCTTCAGGCCTTTCTTGGTGATTTGATCACTCTCTAGGCACTTACGTTGAGAAGCAAATCTGCCGGTAGGAACATTCCGCCCCGAGCCGCACACATGATGCGCACGCCGGCCGGGTGTTATCGCACTTTGTCCGCCTAAGGCGACAAGTCTGGCATGCCTGGGTAGCCCGCTTCCGGGGGTAGGTTGCAGCGGAACGAGCATGTCCTCGTTTCTGGAGACTCGGCTCATCAGGAGGTGTAGTGGATTCCATGTCGGGGGCCGAGGCCTCTGGTTGGATCTGAGACTGGTGGGCCGCTTCCATCAGGGTTGAAGCCCGGTCTTACTGACATATTTCATGCATTTGCAGAGAAAAGACCAGGCCATAAAGTCAAATATGTACTCAGCGGAGTTTCGGAGCAGAGAAGAGGGGAGATCCCTCATGATTCTCTTGATTTCTGTTTTAGTCGTAGTGCTCACATGCCAGTTTCACGCTTTGCCTCAATCTGGCTAAAGCGCGCCTTTAGCCATTCCTTTTGATGAAATGCCCAGGATTCTTCTTTCGTCTTTCCCCCGGACTAAGAGCAAATATCCGGGGACACTGCTGCGGGGAAAATCAGGTCGGCTTACTTCGGGGCTAAAACTAGCCCTGAACGGGCCACTAAGCCGAACAAAACAGCCAATTGCTAGCCACAAACGGCCCGTGCCAATACGCCACACCACTTTGGGGTCATGAAAGCTCACGGAATTCAGAATCCCAGATACGACCTCACTAGCCTTGTGTGGATGGGCAAAAGGAAAGAAAGCCAGACCACAATCTCGAGTCAAGCCATTGAAAGCTGCGGAATTCCGGATCAATGCGATGAGAAAGTTGATATATTGAGCACTGCACCACGAAATCTCGAGTTCTCATCTGCACCCTACTCATTTTTGTAACACATCATATACACAAAGTGGCAACTAAGATGGATGACCAGGAAGATGAGCCCACGAGTGTTATCCACGATATCCACGCCAGCAGCAGGCCTGGGGAATGGAACCTGAAAAGCGTTCTCCCAGATACCGGCAAGCCGTGGTACAAGGAACGTCATCTTTTACTCCTTAACCTTGGGATGATCATTCCCTACCTATCCTCAACCACCAATGGGTATGACGGATCCATGCTCAATGGCCTGCAGTCGATGAGCCAATGGCAGCACTTTTTCGGCAGTCCCACTGGTACCCGTCTGGGCTCACTTTCCAACGGAGTTATCTTCGGCCAAATCCTCGCTTTCCCCATTGCTCCTTGGCTCTGCGACCACACGGGCCGACGGTTCCCGATCTTCATCGGATCGGCATTGCTGGTGATTGGAGCCGTTCTTCAATGTGCCGCACAGAACTATGCCATGTTTTTGGTCTCTCGTATGGTGATCGGATTCGGTGGCCTAATCGCTGTCGAAGCATCGCCAATGCTAGTTAGTGAACTAGCCTATCCAACTCATCGATCTGTTTTGGTCGGCTATTACAACAATCTGTGGTATCTTGGAGCGTTACTCGCGGCATGGATCACATACGGAACCTATTTCATGGGTCCAAATATGTCATGGGCCTGGCGCATCCCGTCTCTTTTACAAGGATTCTTTCCCCTTTTGCAAGTGATTTTTGTCTATTTCCTCCCCGAGTCACCACGATATCTCGTACAAAAAGACCGATACGAGGAAGCCCGAAAGGTGTTGACGAAATATCACGCCGGTGGGGACGAGAACTCCCCGCTGGTTGACTATGAGATGAAAGAGATCATATTATCAATCCAGACCGCGAAAGGAGCTTCTCAAACTGGGTATCGCGAGTTCCTGAGTACTCGCGGCAACTTGCATCGCCTTTTCATCATCATTGCAGTCCCCTGCATGATGCAACTGTCGGGCAACGGCCTGATCGCGTACTATCTTCACCTTATTTTGAACTCGATTGGCTTCACCTCTGATCCTCAACAGCTCCGCATAAATGGCGGCCTGACTGTCTTCAACTTGGGGGTTTCAATCATTCTAGCCTCGTTTATGGAGGTGGCCGGTCGACGACGCCTCTTCCTGTTCTCAACAGTGGGCATGCTGACCTGCTACGTGATATGGACAATCTTATCCGCAATCAATGAACAAAGAGATTTCAAAGATAGCACTCTTGGCACTGGGGTAATTGTCATGATTTTCATGTATCAGCTTTTCTACAACGCCGGTCTCAATGGGCCACCCTGGGTCTATGTTACGGAAGTGCTTCCCACCCACCTCCGTGCCAAAGGAACGAATATCATGCAGATTGCGTCGACATGTGTTATCCTCTTTAATGGATATGCTAACCCCGTGGCGATGGATGCGATCAGCTGGAAATACTACATCGTTTATTGCTGTGTGATTGCTGTTGAGGTTGTCCTTGTTTATTTCGGATTCCCGGAAACCAAGGGCCGCAGTTTGGAAGAGGTTGGATTGATTTTTGATGGAGATAAGGCCTTCGTTGACATCCAGGAGAAGGAAACCACGGCTGAAGCTTGAGTTATTTGTGAGATGGATCGTGGTGTGCTGATCTCGAAATAGCTTTGCTGAAGCCGAGGTCTGAATGTCCGAGTGTGTGGCTTGGTTAGCAATTGGTGTATATATCATTCATTCTCTTCAAGGAAATGGGAGAGGATTAGGGCACATACGGCAAAAAATAACCTTCCCAATCATATACTTAGCCATACTAACATGCAATATTCTTTGGCGGAACGCTGTGCAGGGAGAGATTTGTGATGCCGAAAACATATAAAATGTCTTCGACGGGGTGGGTTGGGGGCCACAAGGCCAACTTAACCGGATTGAAGATCCCCCCGTCCAAGTAGTTACGCCCAATCGTTTCCTTTAGAAAACTCGAGTTTCCCTTCTTTCTGTGTGTCTCAAATCTAAATGAATACCGACATATCCAGTCTTCTCAGGTATATTCCAGTCAACATTACATGCTATCATTTCGAATCTTCACCTTCTTTGCGCCTCTGTGTAACACCTCGCGCGCGTACAATGTCAGAAAAGAGAGTGGTATCCGCGCCCAGCTTCCTCTCCATTCCCACTAGCGAAAACTCCCGAGTTGCTCGATTCAACCCCGTGCAGGAGCGGTCGCAACGACTACTGGAAAGGCGCGTAAATTTCAAATCAGAAAAACAAAACAAAAAGAGAACCAAAAACATACAACAGCATATGTATGACCGTGGTCACCTAGCGCCCACGGTTCGGGCGTGGGCGGCTCGCCGCTCTATTCAGGGCACTCAGGGCAGATATTCACCCACCTGAATATTCCTCACCCGAATATTTAGCCCGTATAGCAAAAGGTACATTTCTCATCATGACCAAAAAAAGGCTATAAGTACCCTTCCTTTCCCCGTCTATTTTCATCTCTCTAGCTTCGCTTTGCCACTCTAACCCCGCTTAGTCATAAGTAAGATACGTACTAAGTATGACCCAACGTTAAAATATATGGCCAATATAGTGGATTTCGGGGAGTATAGTAACAATGAAATCTAGCGGGTAGTGCTACCATGAATAGAATCTAGTTATAGTGACACGTTACTTATTTTCGATAAGTATATTCTAATTATAGGAGTAGAGAAGTAGTCGCTAAACTATGCCTCTATTACTAGTTTTGTTATATTATATCTATAGGCCGTTATTCCGCTAGATATTAGGACTTATAGGGCTTTCCTCGAGTGGGTTTTAAGAGGAATAAACGGTCGGATTAAGGAACGGCCTATAGTCGAGACAATTTAAGGGTTTTTTAGGAAATTTACGACTAGTATAAAGAGAAAACGAAATTTTAAATTTCTACTACCTATAAGGACTACTATTAATAAGGTTTGTACTAGTTTCCTTTTAACTAAGTTAGGGCTAATATTAGATAGTATATTATAGGAGAATTAAGGATTAAGATTCCTCTCTTAACTAAGTAAATAAACAAAGATAGCGGTGTATCCCTAAATAATTTAACTATCTTAATAACTTAATTATAGTGCTAAGATCACTATAAGTATTATAGGAACCCTATAGATCGGGCTAGAGTCTAGCTAAGTACCGCGATACTCCTATATTACTTTACCTCTACACGTATAGGGGAGGTTTATAAATTAACTGCTCGGAGATATAGAGCCTAGGAGATCGGGGAGGAGAGTAAGGATACTAAGTTAGAAGCCTATATGATAGCTACCTATTATAAGGTATATTTAAATAAGAAAAAGGAACTAATACTTAAAGCTAACTATATTAGTATTTTAAACTCACTATCGAGACTATAGATAGTATAATAATACTTATACTTACCTATAAGCGCGAATTTATTAAAGGGTATTAGCGAAAGATAAAATAGGAGATTCCTAAGCACGTATTCTACGAAGTTTACGCTAAGGATATACCTATATTTCTTAACTTTTTAATATTCTTTTTACTAATAGCCGCTGTAGATATAGCTTTTAGAGATTATAGTTTAGTAAGTAAGATCCTAGATACTATCGATATATATAAGAAAGTTAGTTATTTAGAGGATAAGATCCTTAAGGTAATTTATATCTAGGAAGAGATAAGAAATATACTAGTTTTCCGCTAATATCTTAAGTATAATATAGATAATTTCAAAGGAAATACTAGGGAAGCGGATTTATTCGGCAAGGCTTTAGTCAATCTAGGCTATAGAAGTGGCTATACACTAAATATTACTATTTAGGCGTATCGAAGATAGGCTTTATAGTAAGTAGGTATAGGTCTATTTTAAGTATAGGCTCACTAGCTAGCTAATAATAAAATAGATAAGATATATTCCGAGTCTACAAGAATAAAGTTTACTAGGTAAACAAATCGGGATATATATAGAAAGTTATATATATATCCTCTTAGTGAGGTTAATAGACTAGCAAACTACCTCGGAATTACTATCCGATAAGAGTATATCCAGAATCGCCGAGGAATAGGTCTTTACCGCAATTCCTCTTTATTCTAACTCCTTCCTATAAAAGCCGAGTATAAATTTCTTACCCGCGAAGATATTTATGCTCTTAACTAAACTATAGCAAAATTGAGTTTATTACTCTTAGATACCACACCGGAAGAAAAACACGAAATCTAACTAAAGTAAAAGCGGATCTATAATAAGAAAAAGAGTCTTTATAATAAAGAGCTCCGAAAGGTCTAGGCTCTCTTAGGGAGGTAATATAGAAGTATTTACACTAAAACTATATTCTATTATAGGAGAAAGGTAATACCCTATAGAGACTTCTTAGCTAGTATATTATATTATAAGCTTAGTCTCCGGAGCTTAGATAGGAGAAGAACTCTATAGGTATTAGAGTCTCTCTATAGCGAGACTAATACGATTTTATACCGCGATAGCCTTAGCCCTATAGGCTAGGCCTATCTCTATAGAAGGTCTATTAAAGAGTATATCTTCTAGCGATAGGGAGATATAGATTTCCTATTACTAACTTAAATAAGATTTAAAGATCACCGAAAATAGTTATATCTCTACTATTACTACTTAAGGTATTATAAAGCTACCTACGGATTTACTTAAATCTACTTTGAATATAACCTATAGTTTACTAATAAATCGGAATAGGAGAGCTATTACTAGGAATATCTTAATAATCTAAGCGATTTACTCTATTATAATCCTATAAACTTTCGGAATATACCTATAAAGCTAGGGCTATATCTATTTTGCCTAGGTACGAAGAGAGAGAAACTATTAAAGAGAATATTTTAATTTATCCTCTTACCACTAAAATAGCACTCCTATATTAAGGATCATTTAAAGAGACTTAAACTTGATTTTAATTATAAATATCTAGCCTACTCTATAAGCTTTAGAAGCCTAGAGGAGCTTACTTATTATCTCGTTAATATATATTACTAGCGCCCTAGGCGGAAATCCCCGAAGAAACGAAAGTAGGTAGATATTAAATTCTAAGGTATATAGATTAGGCTAGTTATTATTTAGACTAACCCTAGGTTTTAAATATATATATATAAAAATAAGACTTAGTTAAAAGGATCTTCTATATTTCTTATATCGAATCATATAAATACCTAGTAGCACTATAGTTTAACTATATTTCCTATAACTAAGTTAAATTTCTGATATAGTATAGTGGTAAAATCTATTAAGCCCTAAAATCTCTATCTTTTAGCTAACTTCTCTTACTTAAAAGAAGACTTAATAGTGGAGTCGATAGGAGCTAAAAGTTTACGGGTAGACTTCCTATTTTTTTTTTTCTTTTTTCTACCACCCTTCGTTAGACTAGGAGATTTTAATAGTCCCGGTTCTATAGGATACTCCAAAAAATATTTATCGTTAATAGCTTACTCTAATAGGTCTAGGGTTAATAATCTAGACTATCCTTTAGCTAATTTAGTCAATTATATTAGCCGAGCTATAAGAGCTAGAAGATCTTATAGCCTAATTACTTAATAAACTAGCCTATAATATAATTTCTCGAATCTATAGACTTAGTTAGTATAATATTGATTTAGGCTAACTTCTCTTATCTAGGCCTCTAATTCTAACAAAACGCTTATAAGTATCCGAACCTTTCTTAAGGATCTATTACTTCTTATTTAATTATTCTTATCGACTTTGGCTTTCCTTAGATTTACCTATAATTTATCTAATCAAATTTTTAGGTATCTCAAAGGTAGTTATTAGTATAAAAAGTGTAGTAATTTTACCTAGAAGCTTTACTTTAATTACCTTAGTAGTAATATTATTAATAAAACACTTAAGTGTAACCTAGTATTAATATTATAAATATTAATAAGAAAACTAGAGAATTAGTAGTAGATATTAAGTACCTTATAGTACGTAAGTATAGAGTTAAGTACTTCCTTAGATATAAAACGTGTTATATCCGGTATAGTAGTCTAGATAAGAGAGTTAAGAAGCCCTTAAAGATCGATAGTGTGTAAATTAGACTTAAAGGTTAAAAGATTATTAACACAAAAGTGTGATTATAGAGCTTTATAGATAACTTCTTTTTAGCGATCGGCCCGAGTTTTTTGGAGTGTTTTAGTGAAGTAGTGGTTATAGGTAATAGGTATAAGGAGCTCTTTACTTTCCTTCTCTAATATATATTGTAACTTTTCTAGAGCCGGCAAAATTATATTGTTAAATAAGGCTTTTAAGGTAACCTTATCTACTATATAGAAAACTATATATTAAAGAAATTCTCTCGTAGATATCTACGCGGTAGTAATAATAGATAGCGATCTCGTAGAGTCCGAAAATTACTATCGACTTAGTACTACTTTTTCCGGGGTAAAAGTTATAAATAATATCCGCTATTAGTAAGCTAATTATCGATCTAGTGATTTAGAGTTTATAGAAGGTTATACTTTAGGCTTAAAGGTTTAATAAGCGGGGTTTTTAGTGGAAGTAATTTAATTCTCGGCCAAACTCTTATTAAAACGATAATATTACCTCTAATAGGACCTATAAAACTTCTTATACTTTTAGATATCCTAAAGTATAATATCCCTACTAGGTTAGGGGTATCTATATAAGTAACTAATTATATAATAGTAATACTAGCCTCCGCGCGGCCGAGAAAAATAGCCCTTATACGTATATAAGAATATTATAACCCTATAGTTTGCACTATATAAATTTAGAATCACTAACGTACCTCACGCTAGGGGTACTAGTATAGTCGGACTATTATATAGCCGGTTCGAGGATAATAAACTATCTTTAGCCTATCGCAAGGCTTTTTGCCTTCTGTTACTAACTACCGCCTAGTAGACTTAAAGTGTCGGAGGTAATAGTATAGATCTCTAGAGTATTAGGAGGCTAGGGGGATATTTTACTTCGGTGAATAGGGATAGGTAGAAACTATTGGTTACTAATACTATATATCTTTGATTTCTGGTTATTAGCGCGAGTTATTCTTTTCCTAACTTATAGGGCTTCTAAGAAATAAATATAGTTCTTTTTCACTACCTATCAATTAAATTATATACTGCCCCTATTATTACTATATATTATAGGAAAACCTCTAGAACTAGCTAAAAGAATATATATTAGACTAATACCCCTCTGACACTCGAAACTATAATATTATATATAATATATAATAAGGATAGGATATATTATAAGTTAGTATTCTAGGAAGCCTAGTATAATTAATACCGCGGTAGGTATAAGGAGTGATTAAGGAAGATAGATAGGATATATAGTATAAGGTCTTACAATTTAATATAGCGATAAATAATAAATTACTAGTAGAATAATAGTAGAGAACTACGTTTATTTCTTAGAAGCCCTATATCTATAAGCTAATTAGCGTGGTCTATAGGTATTCTAAATTTCGCGGCCTTCGCTTATAGGCCAATTATAGTAAGTTCGCGATCGACGGTCTAACTACCCACTAGGGTTAAAACCTAAGAGCTATCCTTATCCTAGTCCAGACCACAAGGTCTTACTTATAGCTTCCTTATTCCTATAGGCAGTACTAGATATAGCGCGAGGTCTCGTATATACGTGGCTTTTAGGGTATAGTAACTCTCCCTTTCGGTTTTAGAGACCTACCCTTATCCCGATATCTAGAAGAAAGTTTGGTTTAGGCCTAGCTAATAAGTGATACGTTTGTGATAGGGCGATATTAGCTCGTGGTGTAACCTTTACGATAATCTAGGATAAATATAGAAGACTTAAATAGGAAATTTGTCGGGCTAATTAGCGCTATTATATACTAGACTCTAATCACGCCCTAGATAAGTTCTATAGAGATCTATTACTAACTCTAACTCGATTCCCGATTATTGAATATAGTCACTTATTTCGGCTCTATATAGTAAGAATATCTTCTAGTATATTCTAGATTTATCTCGATCTCCTATTAGCCTACTAATATACTCTATACCTTACCACTAGAAATATTGTCTATAATTTTAGAATATATTTATACCTATATAGCTTAACTTTATAACACTAGGCTAACTTACTTAGTGCTACCGAAAGGAAGATCTAAAAAACCTTTACTTAGTCTTAAAAGCCTTACACTTAGTGACTATACCACGACTTTACTAATTAATTATTCTTCTTTCGAGAAATAAGGATAATCTAAGTGACTTAAATATTAGACCTCTTTTAGAGCGGGGTTCTCGATATCTTAAATTTATAAGGGAGATTATTCTAGTCGCGGAGTTTTATTAATTACTTCGCTATCGCTGTTATAATTATAACTCTAATAACTCTAATAACTCCGATAACTCCGATAATTCTAATAATAGCTCCGATATCGAATATAACTCCCCTAGCGACAAAAATTACTTAGAATATCGAGACTCCCCTTAAAGGCTTACTATTAGTGAAGATATAAATAGAAGTACACTTTATAATAAGGACTAGGAGAATTAGCTAGGCGATAAATCTTATCTAAGAGAGCGGCCTAACAATCGCTCTAATATCTCTTTAGTCGATTATCCTTATATTAACTCTCCTAAGGGACTCTCGGATAGCCTTACGTGGTAGGAATAGCCGCTATATAAGTAGTTTATATAGATTTTAGAGTCAAGAATCTAGCAATTTCTAGATTTAATTCTAGAAGGTAGGTTAGAAAGGTTTAGGTATAAGTTCCTTAATTATAACTAAGCTTATATAATCCTAATACAAAGTAATAGCTAGAATCTTAGTACCTATATTCCTAGAGCTATAATCGAATACCTTAGCACAAAATAGCTATAAATCGCTTATCTAGAGGTTATCACCGATATAACTTATCTAGGCCTAGATTATTTAAATATATACGATTTATATAGACTTAAGAGACTTCGGCGCCTTCGCTTAGTTATATCTACCTTTTTTCAGGACCCGGAATACTCCCTTAGAGAATTATTCCAAAACAATACTTCGGTATTAGAGGAAATTAAGATTGACAAAGTTAGCTATAGAGGACTATAAAGTAGAGTTCCGGGATAAAATAAACTACTTTATTAAATACTAGCGCTTCCTCTAGGGAAAATATAATAATTATTTCTGTTACTAAAGAATTTAACTTTAAGCGCGGTTTCCTTAGAAAATAGCTATAATATTATACTATCTATTTTCTCTTTAAATTACCTATATTCGCTAGCTTTAAGAAACTATAAAGAATTAGCTAGCTTACTTAAAGCGCTCGGATTAGATAACGTGTTACTACACTCAATAAGACTTAAGTCCTTTAAATATCTTGATAATAGTATATCGGTAGAGCCCGGGGGTATAGAATCTATTGTAAACTTTCTTATATTTTTCGAAGGGCTCTAGGATTTATTCCTATTATTCCTTAGTGTCTTTAAAAATAGTCTCCTAAGTTTAATATCTAATTATAAATCTTCGTTAAGATAGCTTCTATATTATACCCTATAGATAACCCCTCGGCGAAATCTAACCTAGCGACCATTAAGGTTCTAATCCCCCTTATTTACCTAACTCTTAAGAGAAACACCGAATCTTATTTGTTTAGGGCTTTACTATTCTCCGGAAGACCTAGTAAGTATAGATTACTTATTTTAGTAAAAAGAACTTTCTACTAATATAAATAAGCGCGCTCTTCTTTCTCTTCCGAGAATCTACCCCTACCTCCGACTACTATATATTAGAGCCTTCGGGTGGCTAGTATTTAAAGGGTATTATAAAGGATTAGACGATTAATCGGAGTCTAAATTCTCTACTATACTTCCGGAGATATATAAACTTACGAGTTAGGCTTTTGGGCTAGAGAGGTTACTAAATCTATAAGTTCTTACTTATAGAGACTTTTCTTATTAAGGGCGTAGGCTATATCTTATGCTCTATAGATTTAAATCACTAGATAACGTGGATATACAAAAATCGGCTACTAGGCTATCTAACCTAGTATATAGAGAGGTTATAAAGGAAGATATCTTAGAATAAGAGATTTTGTATATAAATACTTATTTCTTAGAAGCCTACCCTAAGGATACTTTGTTATATAAGTAGAATCGCCTATTCTAATTAAAAATTCTATATTCTAGTTCCTTAATTTCACTAGGAGAAACTAGTTAGAAGTATCTATCGCTCCCTAGTAGTTCTTCGTAATAACTAGCGTCGATATAGTAGACTATTTATAATAACCTACGTATTTTGTTTATATCCTAGATTATTACTTACTTATTCCTAGAAGATTTTGATCCTATGATATTAGACAAATAGGATATTTATAATTCGAATTTTCCTTAATTTATTATTAGTTAGCGTAGCTATAGGCGAATATATATAGTAAGGTATAGAGGATTAATTACTATTTAGTGTAGAAAGTCCCTATCTATTAGCGCTAAAATTGATTCTACTTTAGTTTGTATAGAAGGTAATATTAGTATAGAGCTTTATAGGCTTATAGCTACTAAAATAATAGGCTTAGTGAATATTGTCGATCTTCAATTCCTGTCCACCAGGATTAAAGGAGTTTAATCTTTAACTCCTAGGAAGTTTTACTCCACGAAGAATAGCGGTCTAGTGTAGGAAAGTATAGATTCTCTACCGAACCATAAGGGGACAGGAGACCTATATATAGAGTATAGTAGCTGACTATAATTATCCCACTAATAACTAGTACCCGGCTTCTATCTCGTAATATACTATAAGTCTCTATATTTTAGTATCCTAAGTGTCCCTTATTACCTAGAGAAGAGAGAAATACCCTTAATATATTATATAAAATATAATATAGAGGTTGTCACTTCTATAGCTTTTACTTTACCTAGTATAGTTCCTCTTATTTAGTATTAACTAGTGTAATAAGGAATCAAAATACTTACTATATATTTAACTTTACCTCTTATTCTATTTCTATTATATTATATAGGTATTGAGATTATAAGGTTATAAGTAGTAGATATATATAGATTAAGAATATACACTCCTACCCCTCTCTGAATCCACTTTCTAGGGTAGTGAACCTAGGCTCCCTTATATAAAAAGTCGAGTATAAAGCTAAACTACGAGTGCTAAATCGACCTATATACCATAGAGTATATAGCCTTAAGCGTTCCCCTTTTCACTAGGTAGGGCTTTACCTCGATCACGTGATATTCGAAATATTATAGCTAATCATTTTACTAT